GGGCAAACACTCCAGCGCCACTCTTTCTCGCCCAAGAGTGGTCAATTGTTCGGGGGATTGCGGGAGAAGGGGACGAAAGGGAGTGACTTTCATCATTCTGCCATCGGAAGGATGTGCACAATGGAGCGATTTATCCCCCAGGTCGCATGGCATCGCATTCAATTGCACTTTGCCCAGTGAAAGCTCGTCCATTCGACCATTATGACATGTGCCTTCATTGCATATTCCTCCCTCAAGCGGCCAATTGTGACGAAACACAGTGTGTGCTTCAGCTTAGCATATCACATAACAATGTGCTCAAGACATCATCTCTTCACTGTTGATCAGTTATCGCAAATTTGCTAAGCATTGGCATTCCATTGATTTCTCTGCGTGCGTAATTTGCTGAAAAGCTCACAACGAGAGAAAATGGGAAAGTGCACTAATGCAAAATCTTTTCTCGCATCGTCTTTTTATACCACGCAATGCTAACTCCCAAATTTATGCTCCAGGCATGCATACTTGCCAAGGAGTTGTATATCTAAGCGTATTTCACCATTCATGATTCCATCTCTTGCCATTCGCATGCGAAGCCATCCTTTATTGGGCAATATTGGGATTTTATTTGGCGCTTTGGCGAACGATCGTCATCGTCTTTTGCACAGCATTTCCGTGGAAATTGTATGGGAGTGACTTTTATTTACTTCCATTCTCCCCCAAACATATAAAATGCTTGCGACATTGCACCATGAAAACCCGTGAACGAGTCTCAATTTATACGAAAAGAGCAGCAAAGGAAAGTCGCTCGCGGCATGATTGAAACTGATTCTCAGGGTTGAACTTGATGAATTTATCAAATCAACAACATCTGATCCCTATTCAAGGATTTTCCCATTTTGCCATCAGTGCATAAAGGACACACATTTTCCCATTGAGTGTATTTTTCATGGAGTTGTGAGTGAAATGTGCAAGTTTGCACAATATCATCTCGAGGAATGATTTCTGTGGTGAAATATTTGCGGTGAATGGCAAAAAGGTGACAAATTCATTCTTGATGGTGTCTCACGAGCACTTTTTCCACTCTTCACGCCCACTTCTTTAGCAAAGTGACGCAGCAAGATTGCTAATCTATTTTTTATTGACACTGAAAATTTCCTTTTCACACTATCAATTGGAGAATTTTGTGAAGAATGTCTTTAAAGAGTGGGAAATGTTGGTCAACATTACTGGAAATAGATTTTCCTTTAGTGTTTTTTTCTAATTTATCTCTGGTTTGAAGTTTCAAAAGGAGTTGCAAGGAAGAAGTTTATTGAGTCTAAAGGCATATAAGAGGTAAGGAAAGTAACTTCAATGTCTTTTGTATAAAATGAGGGAATTTTTCTCATAAAATATCAGTGCTTCCTCACAATTCTGTGGATGATTTTGCTCCCAAGGGGGAAACAATGTAGTGAGAAGTGATGTACAGCTCAGCAGAAGTACTTAAGAAGTGGAAGTGTTCAAAAATTTATAATATTTCCTTTTCTAAGTGTTTTTTATTTTACTGACAAATTATCCCGATTCTTTGGATTTCTTATGATTTTTACACAGAAATAATCATAAGATTCCTCTTCTAAGTTATAAAATGAATAAAGGACAGATTTAGAATTCTAGCACATCAATTCTTGTACTCAAATCTAAGATATCGCTAGTCTTTGACAAAAATTAGGCATTTGCACGCAATAAACATTGCTATTCTGCACATTTGATGCCAAGAAACACTGCAAATTTCGATAAGATAAAACATAACAGATGCAAATTTAAGGGATTTATTATAATTTGAGAATAAGTATGCGAACAGTCTAAGTATCTTCCCCTTGTCTGCCCTGCCGTGCCCTACATTTGGCGGCGCAAAAGTCGCTGGAAGACGCGGAATTTCGCATGCAAGACAGGCTCAAGACATTTCTCACATATCTTTTATCGATTAGCGCCGCCTTGTCCGTGTTCATGCACAGCGACAAGGGAATTTTGGCGGCCTTGTGGAGGCTGAAAAGGTCAGATTTCTTGGGCTCCTTGGCAATGCTTGGCAACGAAGAGGTAATTGTGGACAAACCTGGAGCATTGGCGACGATGCGAAGCACCCCAATAAATTTGCGGACGAAAGTGAGATTTTATCGTGCGAAGGGATGATCAGTGATGGGGAAAAAATCTCCACTATCCTGTCAGTTAATCTCACATGTCGATGAAAGGCATTCACAGATGCGAGGGCCGATATTCACCTCCAAGGGGGGAAACAATTGAGAGATTTATAGCTCAGGAGCGAAATTGACAGAGGTCTGCCGAAAGATGTATCCACGGGGACGTGTCTATTATTGACACATGCCACGCCAGCGTGTGTGTTGCGAATTTATCCGATTCCCAACCCACTGGCCGGCGTCCGCCGGCCGCCCCGGGGCGATATCCTTCAATTAATCTTGTGTCAATATCGGGAAACCTGCAGACGCATCAATGCTAATCCGGCAGCCACCCACAATAAATAAGGCGATACGGCTGCTGAGCCGCCCCGCCGTCATCATAAAAATTAGGCCGCAGAAATTACACGGCCTCAGGGTGAAAATTGTTGATTTATCTCCGCCCCGTTTCGTTTCGGCCTCCGGATTATCGGAAATCGCGCAATTTCTCATCAACATCGCATCTTCGCATCGAGTTTTTTCTCTCCTTCCTTCCTTCTTCTTCCAGAGCGCCAAGAATGAACTCTATTGTGGTTGATATTCAAGAGCTTTGCACACAAAAGCACCACAAGAGAGCGCCGAAAAGTGCATAAGTATGTGTGTGAGACTCGCATGGGAAATCCGAAACTGACAGTGAAAAGAACCCAGCATAAGTCATACGAGACGTAATTCAATATTTCCATGGTGTCAATAAGGACTTCCCTCTTTTGTATTCAATAAACATCCAGTTTAAATGGGCGCCTTGGGGAGCATTACACACAATTCAAGTCATTGAGAGACTCCGTGGTTGCTCCAGATACAATTCCGCGAAGGATGAAGATGAGGAGGAGCACTTGAAAAATGCCGAAATGAAAATTGGCGGAAAAACCCAAATATTAACATGAGACTCTTTTCTGTTAGTTCAAACCACGCGCCAACATTATTTGCATAACCCACTTCCGCCAAAGAGTCCTCGAAACACGCATGTCTTAAAGTGCTGCTGAAGCTTTCACTCTTTTATTTTCAAGACACACTTCTTCCTCAGCTGGAGCTTCTCTAGCACGCAGAAAAGGCGCCAAGAGTCGCTGATCTTCAACTGTGTTTCCTCCGGTCAAAATGCTGGTCAAGTATCCAACGCCGATGCCCAAGACTGTTCCTATGAAGCCGTAATGCACGAAAGAGATTCGGAACAGCCAGAAAATGTCTTCTTTATCACTTGAAGACGGAGGAAAACTTGCGATCGTTGTGTTCAAAGCGTTCGCCAGAGAATCACTGCAACCGTCGGTTCGGAAAGGAAGAGTTGGTTCGGGTTTGTTGTTTAAGCTTCCAAAAATCAGAGTCAGAACACTAAGAATGGCAGTCAAAGCTCCAGCTTGAGCGCCCTGGAAAGATTCCGTGCTTAATAATTTAACAACTCCTTAAACCACATTTCTTACCGAACTATTGGCTTTAGGAAAAAGCGCACCAAGAACAAACAGAGTTAGAAGAGCCGCAGCGTTAAGAGCCAAGCACTGAGTTGTCATTTGTATTATCATTCCCATCTTTTCGATGAAGGACACTAAGAAAATCTGTAGAATTCCTAGAATCATGACGGTAGTCTTCATCGTTCTGCTGGCGATGTTTTGATTGATGTTTGGACGCCAATTTCTGACGAAATCTTCGAAGATAATTCCGCTCATGGCGTTGAAATACGAAGAAGTTGTTGACAAACTTGCAGCAAAAACGCCAGCAATAAAGATTCCGTTAAATCCTTGAAATAGGGATGCTTTTTCTTGTATAAAGTGTGGAACAATTTGATCGATGCTCTTTATTATTCCTGCCTTAACTGGATCGCAGGATTCATAATTCGCGTAAATGATTATTCCCAAGAAAGGAGAGAAGCAAAGTATCATAGCAAATAAGCAAGACTGAACCCAAGCAGATGTTTTCATCTTCTTCTGACTGGGCAAGGAGAGAAATCTCTGCAAGTTGGCTTGATTGAGTCCAAATTGAAAGATATTTACTATTGTTGATGTTAACAAGTATGAAAGAAAGGAGCTTCTCTTGTTCAACTCCATGTTTGCGATGACGATTCTTCCTCCGCGATCGGCGGCCGCGAAGACGTTTCCGATTCCTCCGACGGCTCGGATCCCGATCGCGGCCACGACGACACACGACGCGATCATGAGCAAGAGTTGCACGACGTCCGTCCAGAGCACGGCCTTGAATCCGCCGATCGCGGTGTAAGAAGCGCACAGCAGCGAAAGCGTCGCGACGGTGACGTAAGTGTCGACGCCAGTGACTCTCTGGAAGGTCAAGGCCGGAACGTAGACTGTCACAGGCAAGAAGAGAAGCCCAGTGAAGAGGAAGATCGAGCTTGCAAGAAGTCTCACTCGGCGATTGAAGCGCAGTTCGAAGTATTTGAAGCTCGAAGTCAGTTTGAGTTCCGTAAAGATCGGCAGGAAAATTTGTGGAACTATCAAAGGCATAGGAAACATAGCCAAAGCGAACAGCCATGTGTGGCTTCCATAAGCGTATGTTTCCGCTGGAAGGCCTACAATCGCAGTTCCTGAGACTGACGTCGCGATTAGCGAGCAAATCACCGGGAAAATGCTCATATTTCTGCCTCCAAGAAGATAATCGTCGACTGTCGAAGCGGTTTTACGGGATTTGAAGGCATAATAAAGTCCGATCGCGGCGGAAACAAAGAAAACAATCACGAAGAAGGAATAGTCCAAGAGAGTAAATCGACCTTTGTCCAAAACTGCCATGATCTTGATTCTCTCAACTTTTCAGACGCACTGTCAAGAAGCGACTGAAAAGCAACTCTTGAAGTCTTCATGAATATAAAACTGCTTTTTATCTTATTTTATGCAGGCGATAACCTTGTGTGAGTTAAAAAATATACATATTTACACTGTACTTTTGAAGCTCTTTACACAAAAAGAAATGAGAAGAAGTGTAAAATTAAACTACTCATAAAAGATAAAGTACAAAAAGATTGTGTGCAATAAATGTTAAGAGTTGTTTAGAGTGCAGCTTATAGAAAAAAGGGAGAGCGGGACAATTTAGTACGCAAAATAGGTGTATCCGGCCTGGATTGTCCCATTGGTTGGATTGTCCAATGATTGTCCCATGATTGTCCCATGATTGTCCCATGGATTGTCCTAATCTTCTTTTGTGGCTGAAAACCATCCGTGAACACATCTCGGAACGGGACTCGAGGTGATAAATTCACATCTCGCGATCTCTTCAAGATTCCGTGCGTTCAGAATCAAGAGTCCAACGCGATTCTCTTGGTCTGAACCCCAAAGAAGCACGGAAAGCAGCACTCCGTCGTCTTCTGACGTGGGATTTGGGGCTTCCAGGAAGACAGGCTCTCCGGGAAAGCAGTGCTCCTCGCTCCAAGTCGTCCTTGTTTTGCTGTGAACATCAACTTTGATGATCTGCGAGTGAGAAAGAGGAGAAATTCGGGGTTAAATCACCATTGCCAGGTGATTTTGGGTGAAACTCACCATTCCAGGGCACGCAAAGTCCGAACTGAGAGCGTAGAAGTAGCGATAAGGCTTTCCGGAGTGTCTCAAGTAATTGATTTGAGGCAAATCGCACGCCAAGTCTGTGAGTTTCTCCGGAATGCAGAGGTTTTTTTCGTCCTCAGTGTTCAATGGCAGGACAAATCTCTGCGGAATTGATTGGAAGCTTTTGGAATAGTTGGGATTTGTCTGCATATTCCTGATGTTCTCCATCAGCATTGCATTGATAATGTCTGCATTCTCATAGCAACAGATATCAATGATAATCTGACTGTCTTCCTCAAATGCATTGATCATGTGGAAGAAGAAAAATGCCTCAGCACAGAAGGTTTGCACGAGATTTCCCGTCGTCCGAGATAACACGTGAAATCTGGTGGTTTTGTCTCCATTCCAGCACAAAGTGTCAATCAGAGGATCATCATTCCATATCGCCTTGCTCATCTGTGTCACGGGCATGAAGAGTGGCTGCTCGACGAGGACGAAGAAGTTCTCTGTCATGCCGAAGGTGTGCATATAGCAAGGATTGAGCATGCTAGAAACGGGCATCGAGGCCACAATCTTTCCACTTTTCACACCATTTTCGCTGCGCGGAAAGCCGATGATGCAGTATTTGGGGCCGAATTTCGTCACAGCCGTTCCCAGATTGAAAGCACTGCCATTTTGACGGACATGAGGATGCGAAGTGTGATGAACAATGCCGAATTGTTGGCTCAAATTGATCCTCTCTTTGGTTTCCAGTGTCTCAACATCGATATTGAACATAATTGGTGACTCGGTAAAGGCGAAAAACTCATCACCAAATGGATAAATTGAGATCATTGCATTGTCAGACATTCCTTCGCCGTTGAAAATCGCGGAAATCTTCTCGAAGATCGATTTGCAGGGATCTCGAGTGGATTTCGTGCCGAATTCCGTCACAACAATGCGATTGGCAGCGGAATTTTCCTTGAAGCAATTCGTGCGAATGAATCGACACTGATAAGTCACTTTCCCGTCAGCAATTGCGAATCTGTGCAAAAGTGCTGATTTATCGAATAAATGATTGAACTTGTCCGGACCGAAGTGTCCTTTTCCTGGGCCATTTCTCAGGAGACTCCCTTTGATCCACTCCGGAATTGTGCCACTGACTTTCCCATCAATTGCCTGAAGGATTTCCTCTTCGCACGATCGCAACCAAACGCTGGAGTCACAATTTGGATACACTTTGGCACTCATTTTGGCACAATCGACTTGTCACTGTGAAAATCCGCGTGCGACTGATAGCAAAGGTGGGTCAATTGGCTAATTTAGTGACTAAACGCGCGCAACACTTCGCGATCGACAACTTTCTATGAATGTTGTGGTTTTCCCTATCATTTGAGTTCACGTTGACCGTGGAATCGTCGATCTGTTGCTCAAGCATTCATTTGAATGATTAATTTCCATTGATGATATATCATTATCAATTTGCGCTTTGTTTTTTTCTTCAGAGCAAATCATTTTATAAAGAATGATAATCGCCAATTGTTATCTTGCAGATTATACCATTATTGTGGTCAATATCAGATTAAAAGGCAGTAAAAGGAAAGAACATACAATGTAATAATGCCAATCTTAACCCTTCATTTCTGGGCTCCTTACTTTAGATTACATTAATAATTGATTAAATGGAGATGTTAAAGGTTGTATTTTGAGAAATATCAACAAACAAAACCCACAAATATTCACATATATCGATTTATAGCATTTATTTGCTCAATTTGGGCAAATTTAACACAATTTGAGCTTTTGTACATATTTCGAAGGTGTGTTTTCACAGATAAATGAAAATTGCGAGCAAAATTACTTTATTTACTTACCCAGAAAATTGTTCCTCGTGAAGAAAACGCCAAGAAGTTTAATTTCAGCATCAAAGAATTCTTAAAAGTTGCACTTCAAGTATCATATGAATGGCTCAAGTCAGGAAGAAGAAATACTTCTAAGAATAACTGGCAATTTTGAACAATTTGTACTCTTTATGGAGGAAAAGTATAGTTAAAATGAACAGTCTAAGCGCATTATCGAACTATAATTTTTGTCATGTTGAAGTGAAATAAGCGATCGACACTTATCAATACGAATTATGTTCAATTTCCTTTTGTCAACATAATTTTAGGAGAAAAAATGGGATTGATATAGACTTATTAGTCCTTAGGCTAATGATTTTTATCATAAAATCGTGTTGAAAAGAAAGAAAATTGCACGAAATTTGTATCGATAAGTATGTAAGTAAAGCAATAATTTACCAACATTTCAATGTAGTAATAATAATATTTTTTTTAAGGTTAAAATGCATCATTTGGAATTCATGTTTCTGGATTAAATGACGAGAAATCATAATTTTGAATAAACTATAAGATAATTTAAGGTTTTATGTGCAACTTTCCATCGCTTTGTTGTCGCACTAAAACGGTTAAACAATCAAATTCACATTATTGCTTAATTTTCCGCGGTTTTCATTGACAAACCCTTAAATAACACTCCTGGGCGATTGCACTGTGCAACCCTTTTGCAATATAACTCCAGTATTTGCTGGCAAAATGAGAACAAAAAGGGGGAGAAACATGAAAATGGAATGGCATTAATAATTACAGCAAAACGCTACACCCATTTTCAACTGCGCTCTCCGCATGATGAGTGGAATTTGCACCGCGACCCGGGCAAAAAGTTACATTTGCAGAGCCATTGGGAGCCCGGGCGCCGCCCAGAGGCCCCCGCCCGCCGCCAAATTGCAGTTATTAATGACCTTTGTGGCTATTTTCCGCTCCTCTCGCGGCCGGAATCAATTTGCTCGTATGTCGAGTGACATGCATTTTTGAATGCAAGCGCGCGCTGAGTTATTTACCATCGACCGAGGCGGAGTATTGTCGGGCACATTAAGTCATAATTGATCGTGTGTTTGGATAATTGATTCAGCTCCAGTTTTCACCCATCGGAAGTTCATAACACTTTTGCGCGCGAAATTGTCCGCGAAGACTTACCTTTTAAATCGCAGAAGCGAAACTGCAAAATCGATTGACTTCTTTTTTATTTCAAATCCCTGCATTTTGATACATTTTCAATTAACTTTTTACATTCAACATTGTCTATTTCTATTTTTTTTCTGAATGCGTCATGTCAATTTTTCTCCGTCACTTTATATATTTTGAATATTACGGGGGATGCGCGCAATTTTTTGTTCGTCACCATCCAGTGACGAACGGAAGGGAGAGAGAAAAGTGGACAAAAAGTGTCTGGAAATTTCAATTGTATTTTTCCACTATTATAATATTCATTTTTTTTTCCTTTCGTATATCTATATAATGTAGAGGTTAATAAAATCGAGGGTATTATAAAATTGAGCCATTTAGATTTTTTTATTCCTTTTTTTTTGGTTAAAAATGCATGATTTTTTTATACACAACTTTTTACACATGACACCAATTTCTGTCTTTATATTCCTCACATTTTTTTTTTTTGATTATGGAATGATTGAAGTAAATTTTTCATCAGTTTTATTGTTACAGAGACAATCTTTTCTCATTGTTAATACAAAACATTCTGCATCTAAATTTTTATTCTTTACCTACAATATTCTGAGTTATTTACAAATGTCTAGCAATTGTGTATATTCACCTCAAAATTTATTGTTTCAGCGGGCTGAGAATCACCGCGTTCATTTACTTGTGTCAGAAGCGTGTGGTGTAATTCGAGCTGCCATCATCTGGCGATGGCGATGAAATTGCCGATGATCTATCTAAGGTGGTTGTCTTGAGCATCTCCCCCTCTTGACACCCTCTCCGGGTGGGATTTATCTGCAAAGATCAGGAAAGTGACGTGGTCAGTGTAACGAAAAGGCGGGGCGTCCGAATGGGCGTGGTTTCTCCCAACTTATTGCTCATATTTCACTCTGTTTCTTGCTTATCCGTCTTCGATTAGTGATTTACGATAAATCTTTAATACATATTACTCAATAATTTTGGGAAATACGGAAGGCGTGGCATCAGAATGGGCGTGGCTTCTGCACATTTCGTATACGATTTTTAAACAAAACACAATCAAATTTGGCAATTCTTGTTCCTCGTATCTTTGTATAGCTTTTCACTTGGGTTTTCTTCCTGGAAGACCACAGAAATTGTATTTGAATTGCTATCAGAAGGCGTGACATTGATAGGGGCGTGGTCTCCGTGCAATTTGCACAGAAATTCAGAGGATAATTTTCTATGCTTGATCCTTTACTCAATTTTTCCGTCTTTCCTACTTGATATTTCCCATAAATTCACACAACCGATACCCTTCACGTGGCAAGGGAGGAGCTATCCCCCAAGGAAATACGTGTATACACAGTCTCGAGACGAGCAGGTGAGCGCCAGCGACACGTGGTGGCTCACCTTCGTTGGGCGCTAAACTCAATTTGCGCAAATATTGGGGCGAAAGATTGGCGGTGGGTGTGAGCATGTGCTATTTACATTAGAGGTGGCTTGCGAACGGGGTCAAATCATGGGTCAAATATGCAAGTAAATTTGATGTCTGGGCCGGATGGAATTTGCGGGCGGGCGGAGGGAAAGATGTGTCAGTGAACTTACCGCATTATTTGAGCATAGCCCATCTGTCATGTTGTTTGTTGTCACGAGTGTTTTATTCGCAAAGGGCGCCGGAGGTGGAAACGTTGTCATTTGTGATGGATGAGACATGACCGTTGTGGGCGGCAGCCGGGAAATTGTATTTGTGCCACCGCCAAACACGCCACGATGGCTGTAGCTCGGATTTCTGGCCAAATCAATCTGCAAAATCAACTTCGATTACTCATTTCTCATCTGCCAAACTAATGATACTCTGGGAAATTTTCCGCTGGACCAACGCAAATTTTGTGACACTCGCACAGATTTATATCGCTGAGGCACAGTTTCAAATTCGCTCTCATCAATTGATGAGTTGAAGATGTATGAAGGGTAGTTTCCACCCTCTAATTTAAAGCTTCATATCTCTGGTGTTTGTGAACCAATTTTGATGATCTTTGCTGCAAATGAAAGCTAATTTGATTCCCTACAAATCTTATTATTACACATTTTTTCCTTAGACAATCGCTTGTAGCGTCAGAGATGTTTGTAACAGATTCTGGTAAAAATGAGAATCAATTCAGAGTGTTTATGATTTTCGTCAAATATCTTCAAAAACAATAAGCCTACGAATTTCTGTGTAATAAGAAAAATTGGAGAGAATAAAAATATCTTTCATTTGCACTGAACATTGTCAAAATCGGCCCACAAACAGTAAAGATATATGAGCCTACTCTTCTCGCGTGCGGCAAGTTGAATCTGCACAGATGAGTTAATCTGATTTGCGGCCGAAGAGGCGGAATGGCGTGAAATTGAATTAATTAGCCAACCTGAGCGTAAATCGTCGGCTCCTGATGGCGCTTGAAGTCCATCTGGCGCGGCCTGCCCAGCGTGGCGGTGGTGTAGGGCTGTCGCTTGGGGCCCACGAGGGACAGGTCGGCGTACGTGAGGTCGCTCTGCAGCGACGAGATGCCCTGCTGTGCCATGCTCGTGACCACGGGCCGGAGTGTGCTGTAGCTCGTGGGCGGCAGGAAGTTCTGCCCGGGCAGCGCCTGGTAGGTCACCATGCGCTCGTAGCTGCCCAGGGAGTTGAGCCCGTTTTGCTCCGCCAGCGCCGCCGTCGCGTACAGCCGCGGATGGACGTTATTGATCCACTCGAAGCCCTTCTCCTCGTCGTCCCGGTCTGTCAGCGACGGCTGAGGACCTGCGGGAGAGAGAGAGTGAAGCCCCAGGATGCTCACCAATAGTCAAACTGGAGACTTTATGCACTTTGATAATGTGTATCTTTTCTTTGTGCGCTGCCAACAGGCGGAAAATGGCACTGTAACAGTTTCAGTTAAGAGATCAAAGGCATGCCTTTGCTCAATGCCCAGGGGCTTATCAGTGGGGAACTGCTATCACGCATCTTCCGGCGATTGACACAAATGAACACAAGACACTAGATCAAATTTGTGCAATTTAAAGTCTTTAAAGTCATATTTTACATTAAAAATATTTAGGGATTCGTAAGAACATGGATTAATCCCTTACCTTGGGGTATAATGTCGGGATTCTTTTCCATGCTTTCCAGGCTGTCTCGCAGTGAATCCCGCCCCGCATCGAGTCCGTCCATCTGGGAGGGATGCGTGGAGTTCCTCATGGTTGTTGTGGTTGTCGAGAGGCTGGGCGCCAGATGACTGGTGCAATTGTTGTGATCTCTGCCGCTGGAGCCTCGCAATCGCACGATGAACACAATCACGAAGGCAATGAACACGAGGCCGCCAACGACGCCCAGCAGAATGGCCAGGAAGGGCTTCATGTCCTCAATGACAGGCGCTCCCAGAGCCAAGTCGGTCTGCTTCTCCGGATTCTTGAGCGTGTACGCATTCACGCGTGTCGATTTGCTCGTCCCTTTGGCATTTGTGGCGGCGAAGAGCAGGATGAACTCAATGCCAGACTGCAAGCCGCGAATCTCGAAGTACGGAATTGTACTGAAATTGTCCAGAGAGAGAGAGAGAATCCTCATGCAAAAGATCCCAGTTTACGACTTCAATTTCCATTCCACTCTCAGCCAAAACGACCTATTAGCAGTGTGCAATAAAGTGCTTTTATATGGAAAAGAATCACCCACTGTGAGTTGTGGCGCGTGTAACAAGAGAAAAAAAAGCAACAATAGGGCCAATATTTCAGGGTTTAATTTAAAATATCAACCGTCGCAAGTGCGCTGCAAAAATTGTTTTCCCCTCATTTCAGGCCCACCATCATTGCCCCAATGATGAATCCAATGATTCACTTTACAGCCAACAACAGGACGGAATTCGATGCCCTCGAACTGGCGCTGTGCGATTTTCCCAGCACATTTCCACTCAGTGTAAACAAGGTTTTTTTTCTGGTGTTTCCCGTGTTGAGAGTGCGAGAGAAAATAATGAGAAAGAATGGCGATGGAAAAGTCACAAAGTGGAAGGATGTACGCATATTTTGTAATTGAAATTGGAATTCTAATTTACTTTAGGTCCAAATAAAGGGTCGTGAAAAAGTTTCTCAGTCATGTGGGTGTTTTTTTTTTTTGGGGGGAGAAAAGTTACCGAGACTTTGTTGTCGTCACCAGTTGACGAGCTTCTGATGAGTAAACTTCAGCGAAGAAGCTCTGCTGCAGGCCGCCGTTGAAACCCTCGATGCACTCCACTTGGATCATGTCGTACGTTATGTTGAGCACCGTGCAATTGCTGGGCGGATCCGGAGGACCTGCGAGTGCGTGGAGAGAGAGTAACAACCCGGAGAGTCTTGCAAATTGCTTTACTTTTAACATGGAGTCATTATGGGAAAAAGTTCCGCACGTTGTTTAAAAGCATATCATGTCGAAAGAGCAGTGCAAATTGAGATGAAAAATTAGAATTTTCTGAGAGAATTTTGTATTTTGTTCTCACATTCCTAATCAGGATAAGGATTTTCTCAAGGATTCTGCTCTTCATTTGCAGCAAAGATCGTGGAAATCAGGTTAGAGGAGCACGAGATATTGCAGAAAATACACTTGAAGCTCCGCCCAGCGACAAGCCACGCCTCTTTTGATACACACGGCAAAAATTATACCTTCGAAAGAGGAAATATGCTGTAATTTTCACGACTACATAATCGTTCTTGAACAATCTATTTGAAATTGCTATTTTACACTTCATAAAGTCCTGTGAACAGGATTTGGGCCGCAGGAAATTGAACAAAAGCGATAAAACGAATGCTAAAAGACACAAAAAGCAAATTGACAAGCCCAAATCAAGGCGTGTTTGTGGTGTAAATGTCTTCTAAACACGCCAAATTCATCATTCAATGAGATTTTCCAGCCATTATTATAGTTATACCATAGATTTAGAGCAAAATAAGGAAATACCAAAACGTCTTAGATGTTCTAAACTAATTTTCTCTACTGTAAGTGAATAATATACAATAATTTGCAAGTTTAGTATTTAGTTTCTCAAAGGAAATAAAATTTGAATGTGTTTTTTCTGCATCTTTTTTTGCCCAGTTTACGCAAAATGCTTCTGTTTTGTGTTTCACTTTCCACGTGGATAGTCTCAATTCCATGAATGTAATCCATGAAAATCTGCAAATTTGCCATGCAATAAAGTTGTTTAATTGAAAACCCGTAAGCAATTGAGTGCTTTTGCCATTCACGTGAGAATTATTGATGAGAATTGACTTGCAAATTGGATCACGTGTTGGAAGTTTCACGAAAGCCTGATGGCCAACAAGTGAAGCGCGGCGTCTTTTTAATTAATGAAAACGACTCTGTGGACTCAGCTCATTAAAAATTTACAAAAACAACATCGCTTCATAGATTAAAAACATCTCATTCCGCCCATTTCGCCATCTCGGCGAGTTCACCTTTTCCTGGGCGACAGGAATTGAGTGTCCTTGTGTGGGTTGGGGGTAATTTTGGGGGTGGTTGGATAAAGTTGCTTTTTTGCCGGGTGTTTTTTCGTCTTGAGGTTTTTGGGACGAAAATGAGAGCGGAATAAATTCAGCAATTCGGCGTCATGTGAAGTGTCAATAGCGAAATTGTTAATGAATAATTAAGAACGCTTTTTGAGACTCTCGGGACATTTTGTACTGCTTTTCCGTCACTCTTCTGACTAATCCAAGGGGAAGATAATATGGCTAAATTCTGTACACCACTTTCTGACATTTCCACAATTTTTTATGGAGAATATTCGACACTTCTTAGGACTTCAAACTTCATGGATTGTTTATAGCAAGTCTGATAACATGGAATCTAACTAAAAACTTTAAAATTCACGTTTTCATACGGTATTTTGTGATTTTCTTATTAATTTCTAACTGAAAATCGATACAGTGAATTTAAAAAATAATTAAGGTTATGTTTGCCTTGAAAATTTCTTCCTAAATTCACAATTTTCATTAAGTAAAAATACGCAATTCTACCAATAAAGTGAAAATACTTTCAGTTTAAGCACTATTTCTTTTTAGATGTTATTCAGTCTTAAATCAGTCACATAACCTAGAAAAAATCTCAAAATTACGACTTGAATATAAATCAATTACTGAGAGTAAAATAATTAACGGAAAATCAATACTGTGAACTGAATAATGCATAAATTGGAACATTTCAGCTTCCTAAAACTCCTTCTAATCTGTACACCACTTCTCACCATATTATCTCCCCCTTGAGCTAATCATATGTCGAATTTACCTGCTGGAATGATGTGGAAGATACAGGGATCCGTTTGGGCGCCAATCTCATTGCTGCCCCAGCACAAAAGGGTCCCGTAATCCTGCCAAAGGAGTCGCACTTGAGTCAATTGTCCCTCTCACGGGTCCTCAGACGCTCACTTGCCCACCTGACCCGCTCTCACTCCCCGTCCTGGGCGTCCATCTGACCCATTTTAATTAGCATTCCATTTAGCCGAGGGTCGAATGGAATGAAATTGCGATACAATGAAGTCTACGCATTGAATGCACGAGAAATAATACCATGAATGTGAATTTTTAAAGCCAACTGCTAGAGAGTTTATTGATTAGAGAAAGTAATCTTGTGGGCAAACTTTCTTTTTACCAAGAAAGTGCCTTAATACATTTCTGAGAAGCTTGTTTTGCAGCAAAATGCTCTTGAAGAGAGAAATTTTCTGCGAGATTTTCAAGGGTTTTTACCCCTTTTTTTTCAACTTAAAAGGAAGCTTTTGAAGTATTTTTCAGTTCAACATCACTGGGAGATTATTTTAAAGCCATATATTTAGAATTGTTAGAAATTTTATCGAAAAACCAGCAAATCGAGCGATTTACTGGGTGAAAAACTTGCCAATGGAATTTCATCTCCACAAGTTTGTCACGTTTCGCAGTCAATGTTGAAGTATACTTTTGATTACTCTTACTTTAAGAGATCTCTGGCGGCTATTCGACATTGGATTTCTTGGGTTTCCTGTTTGTGATTCGCCTCATAAATAATATCCCTGAATAATATTCAATAAATCCTTATTAAAATTCCGGAGAGAGATATTTTTTGCCGGGCTCCGCGCGCCTCTCACGGTCGTCCGGATATTGTGGGGCGCGCAAAAGGGGTTGTAAAATTATGATAATCACGTGATAAATATTCAGGCATCCGAAAAATGCTTTTCGGCTTAAAAATAACCCGTGTTCGGAATGGTAATTATGCTGCCGAGCTATTTTTGACATTCCAACCCACCGAAATGTGATGTGATCGCATATAATGGGGACTGAAGAATGTGTCACGCCGGTTGCAAGATGTGTGGCGGAATGTCCTGGCCGAGGAGCGATTAGTTCGCCTCTGTGAACAATGGCAAGAGGATGCAATGAAGTGTGAGTGGGAATCCTCGAAATTCAATGGAGGAGAGTGAATTTATGTTTGCCTGTGCAGCACAATTAAATTTGCAGGAAGCATGAAATCTGTCTCTCAATTTCCTCAAGTCCCTCAGGAATCAGGAGAGTGCGAGCGTCTGAGGGGGTGATTTAGATTAAGGGTTGCAGACATAATTACATGTTCTGTTCGTGGCAAATAGTGGGCGACACTCCTGGCATGATCGAATGCGATAACGGATGTCGGAATGTCCAGGAAGTCGAATTGGGTGCTGTTGAATTTCCATGTGAAATGCACGTTGTCCGGATTTGCCTCCACTTCGCAGGGCACCTTCACCAGCTCACTCCGCGCCGCACTGAAGCTCTCCTGCTGTCCCGGCCGGCAAATTGGCGGAACTGACGACACACCAAGTTCGCCGATTAATCAAAGACCGCCACCCAAAGATTTCCTCGCATCCCAAAGAGGCCATTCGTGCCACAGAAACACTCACAGAGCCTCGTGCTCGCCAATTAGTGTGCAAATTGATGCAAAATATTGCATTTAGTTCAGCATTAGTTTCATGATGGCGTTCTTGATTCTCAGCAATGATTGTTAATAGAATTAAATCATGAAATTGTGGAAGAATTTGCAATGAGATGTTTTTAAAAATTAAAATTGTATTCGATTTTAAATTTTAAGTAATTGTTTTTAATCAAAAAAAAAATGAAACGATTCCCATTAAAGCTGACAAACATGTTAATGTTTAACATTCCAAATGAATAATGAAAAAAAAAACAATCGTTGCAATTCACGATGAAACAGTTTGTAAATGAGTTTTAAGCGACTCCACATTGTGTATGGGAAGGAAAATAATGAAATTTGCTTAAATTGATAAAATACACGTAAATAAATAGTAAATCTGGTGATAAAAAGAATTTAATACGAACGTCTTTCATGTCCTTTCTTGAAAATTCAACCCAAAGTCACAGATTTATCGATTTTTGTAAATTATTCTGCAGTTTCTGACCTGTAGATCGTTTTAAAATAACACATTCAGGCGGCAAAGATTTTCAAAAAACAGAAATGATGAATTTTTGTGTGACTCAGATTAGCAAAGAACTCTGTTAAATTAAAGTAAAACAATTTTAACACTCCTCGTGTGTGTAGGAATCGCTGCATTTATTGTATTTTCCTTTGAAAACTGATTTGAAAGTGGAATTTACGTTGAAAGATTGAGAATATGATTGAAAAGTGAAGTAAAGAAGGTAATAATTGACTGATTTTGATACAAACATTCATAGAAAACTTATCTGTCTTGAAGGAATTGGTCAAGACTTATTGAGAATCACAGCGAAGCCGAAGAGAGTCTCTCAAGTGTGGCATGATTGGCCCCTCGCAATCCCGTTAGACTTACATTTGATGTCAAGGGTCACGGGGTTACTTTCGCCGTCGCCTTCGCTGTTGCTGCCGACGCAAGTATAAATTCCGCCACGGGCGCGGCTGACGTTCTGCAGGACGAGACTCTGGTTGGCCACGACGATGCCCTCGGCAACATTGTTGTCCAATATCTTGGCCTGCAATTAGAGGGCTTTCAGAGCGTCTTGCGGTGGGGAAGAATTTCGGGGGAAGGAGGCGAAATATTAAACATGACCGGGGAGATTAAAAGATGAAAAGCTTTCAGAAGGGACGAGCTTTCCAGCCATGCAGAAGGATTGCTTGTGATAATCCAACATTGATGTAGCAATAATTTTCATTAAAACTTTTTCCTTGTTTGAATTGTGTGCAAAAGTTGGGAGAAAAGTTACTTTAACACAATTCAATTGAGTAAAATTCTATGTCGCAACAATTCAATGTTTTGACACTCGCTGAGAATACATAGAAAAAGCACATACATATGTGTGCAACGAGTGGAGCTTTTGCGAATAAACATTCTGGAAGTTACGCCAGCAAGTTCCACCCTTAAGAGAATTATCTCATACACGAACTTATTCTGTAATTAAGTACACTGTGTGTGCTTTACAAAATAAGCACATACATTATGTAATTTATCTAATAGTAATTTTAGCAGCCAGAGCGGAAAACTTTCCATATGGACGGAAAGTTTAAGGTAAAGAATGGGGATTTTCTCCTGGAGAACGCGCACACTTGTCATAATTTTGAGTGGAAAGCTGCTTAGGGATTTTCCATGAGAATCATATAATGTGCTATTGTGGAAAGAAAAGGGTTATTTATGCAAACATTCTGTTTTGTGACATTTTTAACATCTTTGAAATCACTCAGACTGAAGTGTGTCTCACTCTGCAACTCATGAAAAACCTTCTTTGCGCAATACGATATCAAGTGAGATGCAAAACATTTGCGACACAGCATTCGATACATCAACAATAAGGAGATAAAATCTGTCAACAATGTTCTTAAACCCTTTCAAAAATTCCGAAAATAACCTCGGTGAAAGACAATTTGGAAGATTGTGACTTAAGAAATGAAGTTGGAAATTATTTTGCTGCTGAACAAATAGGAAAATTAGTGTCAAAAACTCAGTTCTTCCTTATTTTATCAAGTTGAAAACAAATTGGCAATTTTATTTGCAGATTCTGTTGCATTCTCAGTTGATTTTCTTGTAGTAATTAGCTTCAATTTACTGTTATGGCTATTTAAGGCTGAGGAACTCTTAATATAAGAGTAAAAATGTAAAAATCTGAACCGTTTCTTAAAGTGCAAATATTGCTAATTATTTTTGTGATTGTTTCAGTTGATTTTAAAGGCATTTTTGGATTTTTTTTTGACTGAAATATGACAAAGTTATTAGTAAAATTTGAAATATTACTTTCAAAAGTCGATTTTTAATATTCTTCTAGTGCATTTTATCCAAATGAGTACTAAAAATCAACTTTTCGTCCAAGTTTTCTACTGAAAGAATTTAAAGATATGACAAATATTATATTCATTTACAGTCTAAGAATATTTTCGGCAAATCTTAAAAAAAGATACGATAAAAAATCAATTTTTCATACTTTACGCCGCAAAACATTGAAATATTTTTTAATTATACTTTTTAAAGTTCTTGAAATGAACGTTTTATGATATAAAAAAAAAACACATTTTCGTGGTTATGTTTGACAAATTGATCAGCTGATAAATATTGTAGAATGATTGCACTAAATATTCCACTTCTGAGCGGAAACATGCTCCCCTTCGTGCTTATCTCTCTCTCTCTCTCTTTATAGAGTGCGAAAGGGTCATAACATAGCTTGCATTGCATTTGAATGGATGATGCGCCAAAATGAGTAAAGCTATCGTGCATGTGTAATTAATGCGAAGCATCAGAGCACTCAGCGTCTCATCTGCTGAATAAAAATTCCTTTCCACCCTCTGATTGCCACTTAATGGGAAATAATACTCCCTCCAGACGCGGGAAAGTCATTAAAATCTCTCCACTGCGGAGTGCAGTTCTTTCCGCCGCTGCCGAATGGCTGGAAGGGGATGGGATTTTGTGGTTGGAATCATTGGAAGCTGTGCTGTGACTTACATTGTGTCTCCAGCTGACACGATACACCCACGGGTTGGATTTAATGTTGCACTCGAAGTAGACGTCAGCTCCCTCGCGAATCGGTGTTGCGTTCAAGTTTGTCCCGTATTCCAGCTTAACAATGGGAATATCTATTCAAAATACAATTATGTACTTAGGAAATTGTTCTCTCGCAGCGATATCTGGGGCAATTCTGAACACTATTCGCATGGGAAGTGTTCGTACATGGGTGAATATGTATTTAAAATGTTTCAGGCTCTGCCTCTCTCTCTCTCTCTGTGCCAGAGCTAAAACCATAGACGGTGGGATTTTCTTAAAATAAGGATGAAATAGTTTTCTCCATCTTTTCCCACCATAGCTGTACAATCTAAGAATATAAATCACACTTAAATACAAATTTATCGTCACAAGCAACACATTTATACTTTAGTTTCATAGTCGTTCACACACTTTGCCTCTATATCGCCACCCTCCGTCCTCCGCACTCCGATCCATTGATATATTTTTTAAATGTGAAAGAAGATACAACAATAAAGTGGAAGAAGCACGTTCTGCCATGAGATAATAAATGCTTATAAACAGGGGGTGGCGAGAAATAGTGCGAAAAAGCAAGTTTCGGAGTATTTTGAAACATTCGCTTTTATTATTCAACGCTGCAAACACAATTTTTAATATGTTTTCCACTGTTTTTCTCTCTCTGCAGGGAGAAATGGGGCAGTGTTGTTTGTTGTGTTACTAAAATTGTGCCAAATTGAAACACTATTACGAGTTACTGAGGATTTAGGGTCGAGATAAGTCTTTTCATTCATCAAAAAAGTAATTGAAAGGCGGATTTTTAGGGAATTAAACAGTCTTATCGTATAAAAGAAAGATCGAATTGAATATTTGACGGCTATTTAACAATTCCACGATGTAATTTGTGGTGAATAAAAGGGTAAATCAATACTGCCCCACAGTGGGGCAGAGTTGTGATATTTCCAGAATATTTTCATTCTCCTTTAGAGACAAAACCATTAGTGTAAATGCAAAAGGTAAGGCGTTTTCTAAAGATCAACAGACGAGGAAACAATCCTTACGTTGGAACATAATTTTCAAAACAACACTGCCCCACTTTTCCCTATTGTCTTCTTTACTTCGTCCAAAATATTTCCACTCTGTTGGTATTGAGAAAGTGGGTCACAATTGTCAAAATTCGGTGTGTGTGTTATCTTTGAATTCAACGCCCTCAGAAAATGGACGTTCTGAAAGAGTCTCTCTTGCTCAAGAGAGGAAAAATCTAATGTTATATGTATATAATCACTTGTCAATAAAAATTCAATAAACGCAATTTGCATGGAAGTAGGAAAAAATTCAGCGAAGCGGAAATAAAATTTTCGACAATTCCTCCCTCAATTGTGTGTGGTTTTCTCACAACTTCTGCCACACTCTTGTGCTGAAAAATATCTTACTCGCCCCCGTCATGAACATTAACGAGGAAGGACTCTCAATTCCACATAGGTTCCCTTTTTTCCAGCGCCTCCCTCCGCCCCAACAGCACCGATAGGGTGGGTTGTAGGCTTGCTTTTTGCGTGAAAAGTGCCGAAACGGGGAGGCAAAAAGAAAAAAAAGTTGAAACTCATTCAGTGAATGTTTCAGTGCTACATTTTCCAACTCTCGAATTACCATGATGTGTATGAAAGGGGGCTGTGAAATATTGATATATTCCCTAACTGTTTAAACACAACCGAAATTTGGGAGTATTAATGCGGAGGCAGGAAAGAATGGTGAGTTCCTCTCGTGTGATTATAATGTGAATTAATTTTCAATTTAGACAAATGGTGAGAGATTTAAAATTCCGAGCGCAGCTCAGCCAGATAATCTCTGCCGAAATTCACCCGCGCACTTTCGCAATTGATTGGGAGAAATTAGAGAAAGCACTCACGATAGATGTCCAATTTCCAGCCATGCTCGATGCCAGACTCCATAATCAGAGGCTGCTCAGCGCGACACGAGAGATACTTGCCGCCATCATCGATGGTGGGCGTGAAGCTCAAGATGGACGTTGTGATATTGCCGTCCGGAGTTGTCTGCAATGAAGATTATTCACGTACTTTGGAAGATTTTTGTGCGGAAAAGCTCGAAGGATTCAGCTCGGCAAGGCTTTCATGCATTTCGAAAGGCTTGAGCGCGTTCAAATTTGCGCGAACTAGCGTTTGGGGATTTTTATCAAATTCGTTTGTATCTAAGTTTATATCACAGCAATTAGTCACTTACGAGCTCTGTTGCATGCTTAATCGACCCCTTTAAGGCATGTTTCATGTGATAAACGAAATCAATTTCACACAGAGAGAATGGCTTTGACCATCGCCATTATCGTTATAATCACTGAAGATCCGCATCTTAGTTTATAATGGAATTTAACCGCCCCTTTCTGGCGCTCAGATAAATTGCATTACTCCGTGCCAAATCTAATATGAATTATGCACTTTCCAGCGTAATCAGATTAGAAATCTGTAAGCCCCGATTGAGATCGTCGTCACTTTGGGTTGCATGCCGGAACTCGCTTGATTTGCGCTCGTCATTCTCTGGGATAATTCTATTTGCCCAACGATTCACACTTTATCGACTCTGGCGCCGTTTATTCGGGGTGCATTTTGAAACAATGCAAGACAGTGCAAAGCGTCAATCTCAATGGGATTTGCGCCCACAGTTTGCACTGCACCACACACTCTACAAATTTGCACATATAATACTCAACTCTCACATTTCCATGATGGAAAGTGGCAATAGATGCGTGGGATTAATATTGAAATTATTGGGCAGAGCGTTGACAGTTTTTCAGGAGTTCTCAAATTTACACTCCAAATGGTATCGATATCAAATGCTGAAATATTCAGTGAATGCTAAACCGGAGGCACAGATTATCATTGCAGTGTCAATGTGATGAATAAATACTGTGAAAGTTGTGAGGATTATAGAGACATTTGATGAATTCTGAATAAGATGAATTTCAGTCATTGGAAAGATAAATAAACAGTGAATGGAAATTTAAAACCACATTAAAAGAGGATCAATTCAATTTTACAGTCATATCTGATTTTTTTTTATTAATTTTAATGGGAAACAATTCTCAGTCACACACAGATACAGTAGCGAAAATTAGGTTAGGACACTTATGAAATTTAGGCCATTTTTCCTTTTGGTGCTAAAAATTCGATATTTCTTTCAATTTTCGAGACAACTACCTTAAGACAAAAAATAATGAGAATTTAATGATCTTTCAAAAGGCGTTGAGATCATGACGATATCTCAATTCGGGGCTGAGATATTGCAAAATGCAGAAAGATGTGCGTATAAGGATAGGGAAAATTAAGTTAGGACACTGCCTATTTTTCTCTAAATCCTTGTTATAATCATAAAACTGCCTCGGATAATCACATTAACTCATGAGTTTGGAGTGTCTAGAAAACATTTTCATCATAGAGCGCTTTGATTTGGACTTTTCAAATTGCTTTTGTATGTTTTAAGCTATCATTTAACGTTTTTTATGCATTTCTTAATTTCTTACCCACAACCGCGGCCCAAATCCTGTTCACAGGTTTTTTCTGAAGTGTAGAATAGGAGCCCAAGTCAATCGTCCAAGAACAATCATGTAGCCGTGAAAATTACAGCATTTTGCTCTTTAGAAAGGGTAATTTTTTAGTCAATGCCTTATTATAGGGTTCAGAAAATCGGTAATTTCTTATTGATGCATGGCAGGAAAATGGCTCTAATTGCGTTTGAATATTGTCTAGCATACAAGGGTTCCATAATGTGGTGAATGGTGCCCATGCCATGCCACAAAATCTAGTATTGTGGCGATTATTGCATGAAAAGATATTCCAAATAACTTAAATTCATTGATCAATCAAAATTGTCCAGAAATTTCATCCAACGATGCGCAATACGAACTTTACACAAAACCCAGGATAACTAATGTGTCATATAAGGCACGCATAGAAGCAAAGTTTTCAGTACTTCATTGATTAGTCCTTAATTTAGTGAAACATGTTAAAGTTTAATATTCGAAATGAATAAGGAAAAAAGCATTTGCTATTCATACTAAAACAATGTTTTAGAATTTTAAGCAATGCCACAATGTGTTAGTGAGAAAAAATGGTGAAATTTGCGTAAATTATTAAAATTCAAGTAAATATTTAGTAAATCTACGATAAAAAGAATTTACTGCAAACATCTTTCATGTTTATGCCTTAAAATGACAGTCACAATGACGGATTGATCCATTATTGCAAGATATTTGTAGATTTAGATCTATTATTCTGCTTTTTACACATTCAATGAAACAACTTCTACAGGTTGTGTTAATATTAACACATTCAGGCGAATGAAAATGATTTAATCTGCTTTATATAATTAATTTAAAAGGTTGCATAGTTGAGAAATTAAGAAAAATTAATAAATAAATTTTAAATAAATGTATTTTTATCAAATTTTCCATAAAAATAAATGATAGAACTCTTGAAGTTCCATAGTAATTTTTTTATATTTCAATTTTAGAATTCATATCTTATAAAAGTTCCATTTGTAGAAATATAAGACAAAAATTGCAAAGTTGCATAAAGCTGTCGATTTTTATAACGACTAACTTTATTCATTGATTGAGTGGAAATGCTCGATTAGTCATAAAAACGAGTGATATTTCTGCCATGGAAAACATCTAATAAATCTCCAGCAACTGAGCTGGAGAAAATCTCGCGAGATCTGTCAGCACGCGGGATTTGCCAGTGATGCAAAAATTGCAACATTGAGCAAAAAAGACGGGCAAAACTCGAAGAGTCTAAAGCTTGATTTACTGATGCCTGTGTTGCAGTGTTGAAAATCGATTTCTCTCTGATGCACAACATGGATTATGTGGCTTTGAGATGGGGAGATTCATTTCCGGCATTGAGCTGAGATTTTCTGCCCGATTGACATCCATCCGATCCTCTCCGGCAACACTTGCAATCTCATTTCAATGCTCCTTTCCCACTGGAGTGCATCACGAAATGAGGATGACAGAGGGAGATTATTTGCAATTCACACTCTGTTTTCTTTTTTGTTCTACTGGCGAATACAATAAAACTGGCGGAGCTTTAGGATCTCTCTCTTAGTGTGTAATGTCGTGTGTGGAAAACACGTAATAGATTGGAGATTGAGGAATTGCGGAACACCAAGTTTCACCCTTTCTGTGGCACAAGCGATATTGTTTCAAAAACTAAAACTTTTCGTGCTCTATCACATGTTTCGCGTGGAAGATCAACAGAATTTTTCAATTACTTCCCCGATGTTTTCCCAATACCTCACCAATTCTCCGCGTGCAGCGCCATGAAAGTGCAGAGAGGAAAATATGGGACAAGTTTGGATTGCAATGTGCTCGAGTGTATGGAGAGACAGGGTGAAAAAAAAAATAGATAGAAGTACAAACGATAGTTTGCTCTGCAACATGACTATTGCCGGTGTTACACGGCGACTGGGGCAAAAAGCAAGTGGGGTGTGAGGGTGGAAACAGATACTTCCGGTGGCATTCTCTTCCGTGTGCGATGTAATGAACACTACAAATTTTGGAGAATGAGCTTTTGTTGGGGAGACGCTTCCAATGATGACGGAGCTTCATAAAAGCGGAACGAACAACCACTTCACACACATAATGGGTGAGGAAAGATATCCTTTCTCGCCCATTTTCACCCCACAGTCATACATGGAGTATGTTTTCATTCTCACACACACTCTACGCAATAGATTTCCCATCTGATGGTCCCACGAGTGAGATTTTCTGGGGGGTTTTGACGCACAAAGGGCGACTCAATGCTGTGTTGCGTGCAATTTCTCAAAAGAGTGTGCAGGAATTCTTTGAATTCGCCCATTAGAGTGCCATGGAAGTCCTGCAATAATTGCTCTATCACTCACAATACGGCGCATTGTCATGCTGCGGTGCAGCAAGTGTGGCGCAGAGCAGCCACTGACGAGCCCTCTTTGCCATCCAACCTGAATGCCTGGCATCTCACAATAGTGTTAAGCAATAACAATGGATGAGATTGGGGTGTGTGCATGTAAGAGCCAGAAACCGGAGCTGAGTCCCCCACAGCTTTGCTCTATTATATGAAATTAATAATTACTAATTCTCTGGTATTCCTCATCGGCATACTCCCTTTCCACCATGTTATTGTCGGCGCCGGCTTCGCTCCCGCCACCTCGCACCACAGCTCGAATGTGTTATCTGCCGATAATGGTCGATTCTCACCTACCAACTTCACCCGCAACGGCCGCACTGGAATGAGAAGAACAGAAGCGAGTATTTAGCAAAACAATACATATATTTCGCAGGCACGAAAGGAGCACCTCAGCGGTGACAGTACGCAGAAGAGACGGCGTTTTTCCGGGTTAATGAATTGCAATTTAAAATTAATGAAAATGGTGCGAGAGAATGAGAAAAAAGGACGCAATATTGTTAATTAGTCAACTTTTCATAGTATAAAAATTCCATCAAACTCTATCGTATGTATTTTAATTGCTTGCATACGATGTTTTTTTTTCATGACATTTTTCCCATAATTGATATTTTTCATCATTTAGCTAGATAATGGATTTAAGCACGAGCGCTAAAAGTTTTGTCTGCGCTTCGAAAGAGTGTAATTTGAGGTTACTTCATAAGAAATTATCCTCAAAGCTCTCTGACGCTTATTTTCTTAAAGGCTTCTCACTATAAGATCTTTTTTAATGCTTTAAAATTGCTCTCTCTGTGATTTTTACCATTCACACTTCCCGGTTTTGGCTTCCTGATCAGCAGAAGCATTCCGGTTTTAGCTTCTCGGTTCTTATTCTTAGACTTTAGATCGTAAAATCTAGATTTTGTGCGAGTGAACGCGAAAGTTGGATTGGCGCGGGATTCTGTTTTGCACTAATAATTAACTTTGAAACTAAATTCTGGAAGAAATGTGCTCATTAGGGAAATATTTAATCGTTTTAGGCGAATTCTGTCATATCTTCTTCTAAGATTCATTAGAAATTGTTTCCTAAAGTCTTAAGTGTTGAATGGACGTTGCAATTCGATGAAGTCAGAGAAGATTGGACAAGTGGGAAGTTATTCTTCTGCGCATATTCATAATGTGCAGAATTAACACTTAAGATTTGCCATCGTCATGAGTTTATGGGAGTTGGTTTTCTGGATGGCGAAATTGCTGCGATGGTCTCAATGGGAAATTGATGATGTGAATGGCGAGAGTGGAACATTTATCGAATATTTCTGCGATCAATCTCCATTTATTCCACATGGTGACAATATTAGAGCGCCTAAGTTGCTCTCGGGTTCTCCCGATAAACCCCAGAGTCACACAAGAAAGGCCGAGAGTGAATGCAAATTGAATTGAGCTGCGAGTTTTGCTTGAGAATCAAAAGTGTCGCAAAAAAAAGTTTCCTTTCTGCCATTCCAGAGAGAGAAAAAGCGAGGAAAAAATCCAGTTTTCGGACAGTGTGAAGAAACTTTTGTGTACTTTGATTTATTCTAATTGCCGAATGATTCCAACATGAGAGAGAAGTTTCCGTTGAATGAAAAACAAAAAAAAATGGGTGAATGCAAATGATCGTTTATATTTGAATTCCGGAGCTGGTGAAAAATTGCGTGTCTCGGGCGGGAAAGTGAGCAAATCTCACAAGAGTGAAAGAGCATCTTGAAGACTGTCAAATCCATCAATCTGTCACACAATGAATATTCCGTGGAAGTGTTCTGCGAGGAGTAAAATTGTCGATGTTAGAGAAGATATTCAATTGAAAACAATTTTTCACCCAACCAATGGTGGAAATCAGATTTTCCGAGATGCAATTTTTGGCGCCCCCCACAAACCAATTTTCTTCCCCTTCAGCAGCAACACTTGCTGGCAATATTTTTCATACATAAATTCCATTTCTGTGGTCTAGCGACTGACATTCTATTAGGCATTCATGTGAAAAATTCAATCTGGCGATTAAGCACATTTCGTCTCTCGTCACGATGAATTATTCACCACAGGAGTGTCTGGGAAAACTGTCATGTCTGACGCTTTCCGGGGCGTCAAAGGGCGCACAAGAGGCTCCAATTCACCTTTGGCGAGTGAAGTGGTGCTTGGGATAAATTAATTTTCGATTAGATGCGACTTGTCGCAAGAATGTCGTGTGCTTTTTTTCCCGGCCGGAGAAAAAAAAAAGGTGGGAAAGGGAGGAAATGAAATATCTCGAATTACAGAAAATTGCCACAGAAAAATTGGTTTCTCCGTCGCTCCTTTAATACAAATATATGATGTACTTATTTCGCTGACGTTTCGCACTCCCTCATTTTTGCACCCGCCCAGAATGTATCTTTCCTTAAAATGAAATTCACTGCCGCAATGTCGCAGGATCCCTGCCACCCCAACCCCTCGGCATAGGCGCGAATGTGCCCCACGCCCACATATTTCACCGTCAAGTACACTAGGGGCGGCGGAGGAAATGGTTTTATTTGTGCCCTTGACACTGATCACCCAGTCTCACGCTGAGCGATCTAAATCCCTATAAATTTCCAATATTTCCCACTTCTTTTCCACACACTTCCGCCGCTGGAAGACACTCAATCGGATGCGGAAGTGTGGAGGATAATCCTGGCATGAGAAACTCTCCATGAGACTGCAAGATCAAGTTCATATGGACATAAACAAGGCTCAACATCCGGAAATGTTGTGGAATCACTTGAAACTTAATTGTCCTGTGTGTGTGTGTGTTTTTTTGTCGGTTTGAAGAGCTTTTGCTCATTCAAATCTAAACAGAAACAAAGAGATTTCAAAAAAGCTAAATTTATTATCTTGAATTTGTGTGTTCATAAACATTGACAGTGAGTAAATATGTTGAAATTTGTTGGCAAAGTATATTAAAAAACCAATTAAGATTTATTACGCATCCATAAGCAAGACTTCGTCGTTCTCTTCATGCGAATCAGCAGAAAAATATCGTGAAATCTCTTATTGCTCTTTGAGAAATCTGAGAATGCATAAGCGCAAGGGGGAGATAATACAGTCAGAAGCGGCGTACAGCTCAGAGAACTTTCTGGGCAATTTTGACTGAGAATCACTAATTTTAAGACCATTGGTAAGTTTTGAAGATCTCTTAGTGACGTTTTGGAATGGAAACTTAAGAGATTCATTATAATTCAAATTACAATTTTCATCTTCTAGAAGTGTCAGGCAAATTATGAAGTGTTTGGAAGTGGTGTACAGATTTAAAGCATAATATCTCCTCCTTGAATAAACATTCTTTCGGCAGACAAAATCTATAATCTCAACTTTTTGAATATGCAACAATCTATTGCTGATTGTATACGTGAAATTTTACTGGATATTTTTCCTTGAATTCTGTGCAAATTTGTCCTCAAAAATGTGATACAAACGGAAACAATCTATCTGAGAATCCCAGGATTACTCGCTGACTATCATACATGTCAAATCGTTTGCTTCCCATTTGATGCGGAAATCAGTGAGTGTTTGTGCAAAGGCGCCTCGCAAGCATTGACCGATGAATTGGTCGGAAGTGTATGAGGATTTTTTGCGCTCCTTTCTTCATGCCCAGAGCGAACAATTCCATACCACTGCATCTCAATCCCCGGAGCTTGCGAGGAAGGAAGCCCACAAAGCGCGCGAATCGAATCATTGTCGATGCTGCAACTGTGCAGTCGATGTCAATTTTTCTCCACACTTGCGACACTTTTTCCTCGCCCGCATTTTCACTCAATGCCAGCCGCAATTCAAGCATGTTCGGCACGATAGCGGCTGGCCTCCGACGAGCTTATTTGCAAGGGATTGACATCGACCACATGTGCCAGGCTCTCTCGCCATGTGGATAAACAGATGCTTATGCTGGAGTGTTGAGGGATTTTCCTGGTGAAGTTTCAGCGGACAGCGGATGTTGGGCGCGAAGGAAAGGCATTACGAATGCATATTTGTGACGATAGCGAGATCTCGCGAGACGATTCACCCCCTCGGGGGTGATTCTCCTGCAAATTGGCCCCTGAATAATGCACAGGGGCGCAGCTTGGGTACGTCTGGGCGGCAGAGCGTGAGAAATCAATAGTGACACCACATCAAGAGGTGAAACCACGTGACGCTCTGAGTTAATCCGGTGATCTTTCCACTTGGATTAGTTTATTGTAATCAATGAATATAGAAAGTATGCAAATGAGCGCCCCATTGAGTGGCGGAGGCGCATTACTTTCGATAGATTAACTGTGCAGTTTGGCTCCTCGAATGTGTGTGCGGCCGCAGAGCCACAACATCATCCAGTGCGCAAGTGAATTTATTTGAAAATTATGTTAGCAATTCCCGCATAATCAGAATTCGCAAATTTGCATACACCCCCAGTGTTACAAGACTTATGAGTATGCTCGGGGATGACGTTGGCTTGTGTGTGACATTTTTCCACTCACACACACACGCGCGCGCCCGAAGAGCTGGAGGAGAAAATGGGATAAATGAGATGGAGAGTGTGGGTTCGTGGGGAGGCGAAAGTCAGAAATGGAAAAATCAATACACTATGTATACTCTTTGGTGGTTTTCAACCTCTCCAAAGTCTCACATTCGCTGCGCATTTCTCAAACTTGCAGATGAATTCGTGGTTTCTCATCTAGCGCCACGAGAGCGCCAAATAGTTCAGTGGGAAGATGCTATTGAAATTAGGTGCAGACAGAGGCAACCACCAGCGGAAGTACCCGAGATTGAGGGTTTATTGAATACATAATCACCTGGATGGAGAAGCTAAAACTATCACGATTTGACAGAGATTGAAATCGACTTTGAGTCTATCATTATTCAATTGTCAAAAGAAACGTTAAATTGATTATATTAATGGTGAAAACACAGCATTTGTAATTTGTAATTTGTCCGCGATCATCTCTTTCTTCCCCTCGCGTTTCGTGTATTTTCCTTCCTACTTTGTCAGCGTCTGACTCTGACATGTCGAGACAGCCACTGTGCGAGTAGGAAGGAAAATACACGAAACGCGAGGGGAAGAAAGAGATGATCGTGGACAAATTACAAATTACAAATGCTGTGTTTTCACCATAAAAAACAAAATTACAGAAAAATATACAAATTGTTGTGTAATTTAGCTGTTATAAACTTTCTTTAACATTGTAATGTAGGGAAAGGCGGAGCAGAATTGCTCAGATGTTAATTCTAACATCCAATTCTTTATCCAGGCCATGAAGAGCTTAAAAATTAAATCATTGCGAAAATCAAAGATCTCTAAAGGCTATATTAGCACGGATATTAAAGTCTCCTTCACTACGAGTGGGGCAGCTTTGCACAGCACATGTTTCGAACAGAAAATTGAACTTATTTTACGGATTTTCAATCACATTCCGTGTATTGCGACAATAATGCTTATAAGCGTGATGTTTTTCATTTATTTCGTGGTGTTCTTACAAGTTTTTTGAAAAAAAATAGAATTTTTCGTCAAATGTGTCTCTGCTAATGTGTCTCTACTAGGAACTCAACGAGAATTCTAAAATTTTCTCTCTATTAGATAATCTATTAGCCATGAAAAAATGTTTTATAGTTATTTAAAGGCTTTCTTTATCATTGCTTTTGTATTTCAAAATACCCCAAAATGGGGCATTTTTGTAAAAAAAAAAAAACGCCCTTATATGAGAAATCCTTGGATTTACCGACCCTGAAATAAAGCGACCCCGTGAAGCTCATTAACAAGAAGATTCAAAAGGCTGAATAGAATTTCCCTCCAATGTTTTATCTTTCTGAAAAATGCATCGAAAGGTTATACTAGGATTTCTGTACCAAATTGATCCGCTTTTCGCTATTATTTATTCTGAGTTCAAACTTTGAAAAGGGTTAGAAGAGTTTCAATTTCCATTTAATTTGTGGGTGTAAAGTTAACATTTCATCTTCCAAAATTAACGAAATTTCTACGATAAATTAAATTTTTGAGGGGATTTTGAGGATTGAGCTTTAAAACTTACAGTTCAAATCCAGCGTAACTGATGAGCTGATGGGCGTCGTGACGTTATTGTTGGACGCCTGGCATGTTAACACCATGTGAAGATGACTTCTCTGCAATTTCTCCAGCTGCAGCACATTCTTAACGCGCTTATCGGACAACATCACCGAGTGGCTCTTCAACAGGGTGTTCTCGTGCCACCAGGACACATTTGGCAGCGGCCGACCTGCGAAGACACGAGAAAGTAGAGCAATTTCTTCAGCATATTGAGATGAAAAACCCTTCCATGGCAACATTCCGTCATTGCCGGGGAGGAATTTCTGCTGCTGTCCGACAAACAAGAGCGGAAGAGAATTACAAGGGAGTGCGCATTAATTTAATTTAGTATGGCTAATTAAACGAAATGCGAAATAAATTACTCTCTCATGGGAATATAATTTTTCCCCAACCACCAAATGTTCACTTTTTCCTCCCGCACACATTTTCCTCATCTTCCAAGTGAATGCACATCAGCCCCAAATTGTACTGGACGAAATTAATTGTCTCATGGCAAATTGGCTACTTTTTGCCTGATTTCACGCGCGCAAAATGCATTTGTATGAAATATTCCCACGCTGAAATTATACGCCACACTGCAATTCACTCGCGATGGTGTGACTTTAATTTTTATCACATCAATTCTTCTGTATATCGCGAAATGTACTCAAAACGCATCCAGATAGCATCGCATCGAAATATGGGAATGTTCCTGTCAATGAAAAATTTCTATACAAAACCCAGAGAATCACTATTATTTGTCGAACAATTGTATCAAATTCACAAAAGCACTGGCGTTAAAGCTATTGAAAGGATTATTGTATGGTCTGTGATGCCACGGAGAAGACATTGACACAAGGGGGAGACAATACAGTGAGAAGTGGTGTACAACTCAGCGGAAGTCTTGGGAAGTGAAAGTGTTCAAAAGCTTCCAATATTCCTTTCCTGAAAGCTTCCTTTACTGACAAATCGTTCCGATTCTGTCGATATCTTTTGATTTTCACGTAGAAACAATCAAACTGATCATTTTTTATAGGTTATGTGAAGAATTTCGGACAAATTTAGTGAATAATTCGCACTCTAGCTCAAGATTTCTTATGCTCAAGCCGGAAAGATTTTATATTAACAGCAGAATTCAGAGTTTGCATGCAAAAAACATTGATATTCTTTGTTAAGTTCAAACATAACCTCAAATATTGGTACTTAGACTTGAAGAATGTTTATTTTTGGATACTTTCTGGACGATTTTGACTCTAAATAAACAATTTGAGTTCATCTGCTAATCATAAGAGAGAATTTTGTGATCTAGAAAGCTTCCAAACCGAATTTTTAAAGATTTTCTAGTGATATTTTGAGGTTATGGTCGGAAAGATATCGGAAAAAAGCGGTTTTAAGTGCATTCTTAGAGCAATTTTGAATGCAAACTTAAGGAAATGATCATAATTTGGGAATTTGTGTGACAAAAACTTAAAAATTCAACTGCTAGAAGTGTTTGGAAATGGTGTACAGATGTAAGGTACATTATCTTCCCTTGCATTGATATAGTTTATTCTTCAATATGAGAAATGTGCCTGATGAAGATGAAATTCGGTGCAATTCTAAGAATTCAATTCTTATAACTTTCTTTCAATTTCAATCGGCTTAATGCTGTATTTTCTCAGCAAAAGTCTCTCTTTTGCCATCAATAAACTTGACTTATTCATTGTGGAAGCACTTTGTGTGTCTTCAAGTCGCAAAATTGCAGTGCCAAAGCGAAATAAATGCTCTTCTGGGGGTGCTTAAGAAAATAAATACGCTTCTCTTAACTCAGTTCAAGGATAATTTCTTGGTGAATTATTGCACCACAAAGGCAGCTCAATTTCATTTGAATATCGCTCTCTCTCTCTCTCTCTTCGAAATGCCAAAATTACCATTTAACATCGCAAACGTGGGCAGATTGAATCCCATTTGGTTGGTCACCAAAATTTCAAATACGGATTTCATGCGAAGCAAAAAAAAAAGCCGCTTCGCATGAAATTATTTACGTGCATTTGGTTTTAGACAAAGTTAGAAGCAATTTTTGCTGAATGAGAAATCCGATTCGTGTCCCATTTTTTCCACCAATCTTCCATGTGAAAAGCGCTTTCGCATGTTTTCACACGCAAGTGAATCCAGAATCACTGCAGGGCAACAGATTCCAATGTGAAATATTGATTGGAAATTGGAGGAGCACTTTTCAATCATGCCATGCAAATGATGGGGCGCAAAAGCTTTCCACGCTTTTCACTCGAGTCGTTGGGATTTCTGCACACAACTCGTTAGAATTACCATGAGAAAAGCAGATAAGCTAATTGGGTGGAGTGTTGAGTTGCATCAGTGGAAAAATAGTGTGAATAGCATGAATAGCAGGTATGAAAAATTAGTGTTTCTGTTTTCCATTACATTTGCTGAAGTTTTAATGAAATTCACACAAAAAAGGAGGTTTTATAAGAGGTAATTTCTGGGGAAAATTTCTTTTCTGATGAATTTCATAGTTGTTAAGCAGTTGATAAATAGTTATGAGACACGCCCACTTTGATGCCCCGCCCATTTTCCTATTATCCGCAGATATTAGGATTAAATCACAATGAAAAATGATGCTGCCTTTAATTAGATGCATATAATTTGCCAATAAAAGCTCTGAACAGACTGATGAGAGTAAATTCAGTGACACACTAAATCGCCTCATAATGCCAGTCGTAAATCAGACATTGTATTTCCCGATTATTTGCCATCTCTGGGGTGAGATTTATTGGCAAATGATCGGAATAATTGTTCACACGTGTCACAAGTTTCTGCCATTTTCCACTTGGACTCTCTTGAGACTTTCTCTGTGGCGATGAAAGGCAAAAGGCGGGTGCGGAAGCATCTGCAATTCATAGGGTTTTCTCTGGAGTTTTGCAGGCATTTTTCATGAGGAATTAAACTTTGGGGAGTTTCATTACAAAAGGCTCGAGAATATTTGTCTCTAAATACTCATTTCTCTCTCTCTCTCTCATGCAACACTTTCATGAATATTTCATTTGACACATGCAAGTGTGTGTGTGTGTGATTTCTTTGCTGAAAAAGCTTCCGCATTTCCCGAAAGCTGCGCGCGGAATGCGGAACAAAGTTCTGGGCTGAATTTGCAAGTGCAATTTTTGGGGAAAGGGGAAAAAGCGAGGAGTCTTCAATCACTTACCACCAATCGAGACACAAGTAATGTTGACGGAAGCACCTTCATTGTATGGTCCCAGAATGTAGTGCGGAATATGAGCACCCTTTTCATCCAGCATCAGCAGTTTCTCCGGTGGAACTGTAATTACACAGAGTGGTGGCGTATTAATAATCCAAGTACTTGACTGACATGACTGGGCTCAGCTCTGTGTGGGCTTCAGCATGACGAAAATGCCGGAGTTCGTGCTGTCGACACTATTTTCCGGCGCGGGAGTGCTTCGCCGCCCCAGCACTTCATAAAAGGCCTCCATGCTGAGACGCCTCCCCACGAAATATTCCATATACAGCCAGCTCAGATTCACGTATGCCACAAGAGTGGCCCATTCACATCCAACATTGTGGTGATTTTGCCAGAATTCCACCCTTAAAGCCTCCAGAGCTTCGCACGCTTCAGCGCTCGCCATGAGCTTAAATATTTCACGGATTTCCCATTCACGCATTTACAATGGTCTTTTTAGTATTTCGACAGTCGTGAACTTGCCCACCTTTCATTCCTACCAAATGCTTCAACCATGTCACGAATGCTTGATGTTTTCGCAAAGGGGCGAAATATCTAAAAATTTTTCACAATGATTGCTTTGCAAAGTTGAGAAAATTCAATTTAATTGCTTTTCTAGGTTATGTAATTGATTTTAAACATAATCTGACGGTTAAATAACCCTCAAAATCATCAAATTTGTGTTTCAACTCTGAATATTTGTGTTTCAAAAACTTCAGTCTGATCAAATTTTCAGTAATCGAAGGAGCTTTAAAGTCAATCATAACCCCAAAAACGTAATTTAAGTGTAGAAAAATACCTCTTTTCTTAGATTTTCACGGTTAATGCACTAAGAAGAGGCAAATTCAACCTTATTATATTGTAGAAACACTGAAATATTTGCTATATTTACTCATTTTCAGGGTTTAAAAGGATTAAAATGAGCCCAAAAAGATTTTTTCACTCATATTTTTAAATTCACAATTTTGGGACGATTTGAAATTTAAGCATTTGAAGATCTTCAACTCCTTGAGACGGAAAAATCAAGGTTAAATTGTGATTAAAGTTAGAAATGAGTGTAAGAACCAGTTGAAAGGGTCTAAAAAATGTTTTTCAACTCGTTTAGAAGTGTCTGGAATGGTGTACAAGTTGAAGGCATACTATCTCCCCCTTGATTTTCACTGACTTTTCCCCCGATTTCGCCAACTTTTGCATATTTATATGGTTTCTGTGCCTTTTTTTTTACCCCTTCACCGCGTTCTCTGTGAGAACAAAGATAGAAACCACCCCCAAACCATTGTCAGGGGATGAAATCTCCCTCTCTGGTCAGCACGAGACTTCCTTAAAACCGCCACAGAGGAGTATATCAGTGGCGAAGGAAGCAGACACGATGTTTCTTTTCGCAATTGCACACGGAGCGTCAGTAATTAATTAGGGTTTTCTGGGGGAGCATGTGACGCAAATGGGTGGCAGGATTGAGGGTGTGGTGCAATGGTAAAAGATGTGACGCAGTTTGTGTCCTTTCGGTTAGTGTCACACACATCCCAGCGCCATTACTGTGCCATCGAGCTCTTGTTTTGCTCACAGAGACACCCGGAGAGACACCGATAAATAAGATTGTTAATTAAGATAATCATTAGACTGAGCTTTTGTTCTCCCACCCCCAGAAAGCGAGCGGGTGGAAATCTCTGTGGCATTTTTCACACAATTGCAGCAATATGTAAATTCCTGGACAGGAGGTCTTATCGACTGTGTGGGGGGAAAATGTTAAATGGCCGAGGCAAAAGTTCCGGGCGAAACTTTATCATCGCACATGAAATTTGCAGAAAGGTCAAATTGGAGGTAAATTTGAGGAGTGGAAAATCAGAAAGTTACCTCCGAAGCTCACGATTTTATTTAGTCGCTGCCTTATCTCGAATCTCCCTCAGGTTCAACTTTGACCTCCGCCACTTTTTCCCCTTTCTCTCTCTCTCCTCTTGCGCCCCTTTTCCCCCAGCGACTGCGGGAAACTGTATCTCAGCGGAGGAAATCAACAATCCCGATTGCTAAACTGAGTGAGCAAAAGTGGAGCGAAGAGGAAAATTGCGCTGGCAAAAAGTTTATCACACTTCTTGCGCGCCTCCTTCCGCAAATATCCTTTCTTCGGCGTAAAAATTCCACTGAAACAACTGACTTCTCTCCTTTCAACATTCACATGCTTTTCCATCGCTTTCCAGCGCCCCGGAAGTGTGTGTGTGTTTGTGTGCGGAAAAGTGTTGAGGGCAATTTTGGACGAAATTTGTTTTCAGCTCACAATCCACTCAATATTTCCGCTGAATATCGCGTCTATTTAGCAAATTGGCACAACTGACATTTGATTGATTAACATTCTAAAAGGCAAAAGGGCGTGACACGCTATAAAATTAAATTACTTTCTGTCTTCACATCACTGGGTGGAAAATAGGAAAGGATTGAGGAGGAGATTTGCGTGAGGATGTTTTGGTCAAAATTAACTAGCAAAGTATTTTAAACTTCATAGTTTAACAGCTTGCGTTTGAAAACTTCTGTGCGATGACTTAATTATAGGAATTTTAGCAGAAAATTCATTCGCAAACACTGCTTTATCTGTTGACTATGCAAACGCAAACTGTTGATTATCAAGTCAACAGAATATTTAGATGTCTTTTTCAACGCTTTCTTCACAGCAAAGAAACGTCAAGGGGGAGATATTACGGCAAAAAGTACCGGAATAGTATATTTACTTTACAAAATAATATATTTTCCAAAAATAAACAAATGATTTGATGAGCAAATTCAAAATTCATCGTTATTATCGCTTCAAAATTTGTCAAATTCACTTCAAATCGATAATTAATGTGTTAATATTGGTCTATAAATTTATTTTGTGAGTTTTTCAGTTGATTTCATCGGTATTTTATTGAAATTTTAACTGAAACATTACGAAATTGGTAGAAAAAAGAAATTATTACTTTCCAATAGCAATTTTTTAATATACATTAAGTGCATTTTATCCAAACAAGTTCAAAAAAAATTAGCTTTTCCTTTGAGTTTTCAGTTGACAAAATTAATAGAACACTTTTGTAAAAATCCCGAAAATCTAGAGGCCGTTTTATGCGTTTGACTGCAATTTGGGGCAATTTTCTTAGAAAAAAATACAGAAAACATAAACTATGAAAAATCAACTCTACTGAAGACAATAAAATTTATTGTTATTCAAGGTTACGTGATTGATTGAAGACGGAAAAGTCTGCTTAAGTGATGAAAAACGCGGTTTTGAGATGTATTATCTCCTCCTTGGAGAAATATCATCAGTATAAAGTCACTTTGAACACTCCGAAATAATACAGTTTAAGCGTGGCTTTCAGCAGGGCGTCTTTAACTTGCGAGGCAGTGGAAAGTGCCGCTCTGGGTGAATCAGTTCCCGTGGAAAACCACCCCGAGAGGGATTCGCGCTAAAGAGTTAACGACGCCGCCCACGGCAATCACCTGAACGGCGAGAGAGAGAGAGCTGAAGATGGCCCGAGAGGGTGAAGAACAAATTATGTACTATGGGAAAATTGCTGGCCGGGGGTTTGGGCGAGTGGCGCGGATCCGAACGCCAGGTGCTCTTCCTGCCAGAGATTTATGACTGTGGATTGGCGTCTCGCACAACAAAGAATAAGACACACGGCGGAGCAGCGTAAATATGTGATTAGCTCAATTATTCACTCGAGAGCGAGTCCATCCGAGTTGGAGTAATCTTTAAGGTTTCACGGGTGTAATTTGAGGATGGTTTTCGGGGGTGGCGCTAATCCCGCCGGGAGAGCTGAAAGCTCTGAAGCTCTGTGATCCTCTGACGGCAGTTTTGCCGGATGAAATGCCATTCATTAAGCACAGAGCCGTCGAGACAAAGAACAGCGCGTATTTCGCGGGTTGTAAATACAGTTGATTAAGGATTGCTTGGTGAAAAAATATTGTCTGCCACATAAGTTTAAATTGTGCAATTTGTGAAGCGAAAAATGACATTTCATCGGTTGTCACATGGAAAATAATCATAACTTCCAATACGTTCACATCCTGTGCGCGGAAGGAGAGGCAACAAAAGGGAAACTTTCCGATATTTACGTTACTTTGAAAGTACATAGCATAGGAAAAATATATTTTCCAGTTTCACCGACTTTTCTCACTCCTCATGCCGTTGTATAGCATATTTCCAAGATGGAAAAACTTCCGTGGAAAATCTCTGAAGTTTAAAGAGCGATTGAAAGGGGGATGAAAGAAAGCCCTTGGCTTCGCCAAGTGTAAACAAAAATTGTGAATTTATTCTCTCACTACCAATTCTCATGCAACTTTAACCAACTCGGTTTGAATTTGACCCACTTTTGTGCCACCCAAAAACATCTTTCTCACTCACACCTGACGGCCAATTGTCCGTGTGGAATAAGAAGCAGAGAGAGAGAGAGAGAGATGCGATCAAAAGACATTCTTGCACTTTGCCTTTGAATTTATCGTCTTGTTGAATGGGGAAAATGGCAAAGCCCTTTCGACTAGCGCTCAAATGTTTGTGCTAAGATGGGTTTATTGATTTCTCCATAAAATACATCCTGCATTGTTGATGATCAATTTACTTAATAGTCCGATTTATTATCGTGTAGCAAAAGGCGGCAGCAAATGTTGGCAATAAGGCGGCTGTCTCACCATCCGTGTCGCCAGCACTAAACTGACTATTATGGACTGAAATGTGTTTAGATGATGTGCTTTATGAAAGTAGCCCGCAGAGGGAGAGAAAAACTGGAATAACTGGAGATGATTCACATTTGCATCATCAAAAACATGTGCATAAATTAAGGCAAAGACCACAAGTTTTACAGCTCATAGATTGACTTAAATATTGACTTTCTTATTAATTACTGACCAAAGTTAATATTTTATTCACCGAATTGAATTTATTGCTGACCCAAATTATTCGTTTACTGGCCAAGCAGTAAAAATACTGACCAAAGTGTGATTTTTTATATTCGATTTTTTACTGGCCAAAATGAACTATTTACCAGAAAAACTGACCAAAATGTCTTTTTTCAGGCCAAATGCATTCTTTTTACTTATGAAAATATTTTTTTACTGATCAAACTGTATAAAGTTTTTATTTCAAAGGAAATTTACTGGCCAAACTGAAGTTTAACTGGCAAATTTGAATGTTTACTGACCGAATTGAATTTTTACTGGCAAAACTGAATTTTAACTGCCAAAACTAGATGTTAATTGGCCAATTTTATGTAGCTCCATAGATTCAGCTTAAATTGTGGAAAGTATAGTGAATTTTTCAATAACTTCCCTTCACAGTGCTTTGATTCATTTGACTGCTGTTGCAATGCATTTTGCCAGTCAATTTCGAAACTCAGCAGACTGAATATTGAGCGTCAATAGACTCTGAATGCCAAAGGAAGCAAATTTCCATTGAACCAGATGGAATGTGAATGTGAAATATATAGCTTTCTGCATTTCCTCGAAACATCCAGATGAGAGAGATTCTTCAATACTCACTAATAACTTTTAATTGGACGCGGGCGTTCCTCGTGGGGCTCTTGTTGAAATCGACGCGGCATCGGTACGTCCCTGAGTCGCTGCTCTTTGTCGAGTCGATGGTTAATGAGGCCGGCTGGGCGGCAGCCTGGAAAAACGCCCTTCCGCCGAACGTGTTCTCATCCACCCAGTGCTTTCCCTTCTCGAACTGCGAGTGTCTCACGTCGAAGCTGCAAGCAAACAGAGAGTCCTCATCAGTGCAGTTGTCCTGCGCGACGTGTGCAGAAAAAGGGGTTTCTCTGCGGACTAAGTGTCCATTCAATTTAAATGATAAGGGCAATAGAGATGTGCAAAAGTCGACAAGTTTTTCGTGACGACTCGCAATCCGGCAGAGCGTAAATTGATCTATAAAATTCCATAGATGTTATCACGTGTCACACACGCACGGAGAAAGTGGGCGAGAAGGTAAAAAAGGTGTCTCCAGAGCATTTTGGCACACAGTAAATTTCACTCATACGCCCATTCGCCACTGTGTGTTGCCTTTTTTCGCCATTCTCCGTGTCACCTGGTCATGGGATGGCGCAATAATTGAAGGGAGAGAGGCCCAGAGATTTCGTCCTTTGTTCGCCACACAGCGCTGAGGCGCAAGAATAGCGAGATTCCTGAGGTAAACACCTTATTAAAGTTTCAGCAAGGCAAGAAGGACACAGGCGCAGGGAATAAGATAAAAGCTTTCGAAATACATTAGAAGACACTCTCCATGAGCTCAATTACACGGAGAGTGTATCACACTCTCGATTGTTGATCCGACGAGGGGTGGGAAATGCGAGGACGAGGAATTCCTTTTTGCTCAGGGAGAAAAAAAAGATAAACAGGAAGAGAGAGGAAAAATTATCCATCTTGTTGACATACAAAAATTTATGTTTTTATCATTTTTCCTTCGTCTCTTATCCACTGGATTAGTGTGACATTGTAACCCTTTCTTCCAGTGTTTATTGTCGTCGCTAAACTGCGACTTCTTTCTCACAAAACCCTCGTGAGCTTATCATTGGGAAAGTTGGGCAAATTGTAAATTTTGTCCAGCCCTTAAACTTTTACGGGGTTCAAGAAAAATAAGTGTCAGTTTTTATCACACATACTGTGAAGACATTTTACGCCCTTCTTGCACTGTTGATTGACTGTGTGAGTCTTATGCATAAGAATTGTGTCAAAATGATTTCTTAACATCTAATTTGCCCCACTCTTATCTAATCTGCAATGGCAAGAGCGCCAGAGAGAATTCTTTGTAATCCAGACAATTCTATTTGCCTTTATTGCCCAGTTGGAATCCTGATATTTGCACAGTGTGTTGAAATTCTTGTTGGTATTTTAATGAGAATTTTTTCTTCCTTTCTCTCTCACTTCCTCCACTTTTATGGCTGCACATTTTCACTCATGAATGTGTAGCATTTCCGCCCAAGGGCGGCGCGTGAGACAAAACAGATTGAAGTTTCTCATAATTTCTTCTTTTGCCAGTGAAATGACATCCGGGATTAGAGCTTTTATGTACTTTTCTTCAGCCTGGGCTTTTTTTGCCGTGCGCCTTTCAATGGGCGCCAACTGTTATTTCGACCACGAGCGCGACCTTTTGTCGCTTCGGTGCGAATAATAAAGTAAAAGATCAACAAAGCGCCAAAAAACACGGTCCTTAGTATGTGGGTGAATTTTTGAAAAAATGTTCTGCGCATGTTGGAAGGTTTTCGTTCAGGGTGGTGAAAAATTCTTAGGAATGTAAGAGAAAAACAGAATAGTTAACAGAACTACGAATACTACAATAAAAAAATGGAAGTAAAACAACAGAATAAAGAAAAGAAGGAAAAGAGCGACAAATGAATATAAAAAGAGAATAAAAAAAATTTAAGAATAGAACAACGAAAAGGAACAATAAAACAATGAGGAACAATGAACAGCGACAAGGAGAACATTGAAAACGAACAACAAGGTAACGAAAAGGAACAAAGAAACAACGAAGAAGAACAATAATATTACAAAGAGGAACAATGAAAAGCAACAATAAAGTAACGAAAAGGAATAACGACAGAAAGTAACAAGAAATCAGAAGAACGGCAGAATTTATGAAGGATAACACTTAATGACGGAAACAGTAACCAACACGTCTTACAAGCTATAAAATGAGAGATGAGCCTAAAGCTTTCGAAATAGTCAAACAAACATCCAGTCTTTAATACCAAAATCAGAGAATTTGAAGAAAATAAACTGATGAGAAATCGATAAAAGAAGTCTCAGAGTGATAACAAAAGTGAATCTCGGTGATTTCCTCAACCACAAAATGCGCCTCTCTGCACTATCATCTCGACAATGTGCATCGTTAAAAGTTCTCTCGTGATGCTTAGCGCTTTGCGAAAGCTCATCTCACGTCGTTTGGCAAAAATCGTTGTGCGCGCTCTCTTCCCATATTGCCTTTATTGCCCCAAAAGTGGTTTACTTTACGGTGGTGGTGAAAAGCTTGTGGCGCTCATAAAAACTCCATTACAACATAGTTTTCGCCCAGCGAAAGCTTTTCGGCAAACACAAGTGGCCATTAATTCATTTGAGAGCGCGCGCCGAAGAGCTTTGCTCATTATAATTCTGTTTAGTCGGGACTTTCGAGGGCGCGATTGACCAAAAGCCTCGCGCCGAGAAATCCTCGAGAATGTTTAACTGAAGTTGCGTAATTGAGGAAATAGAAAAGACACGCTTCGGCGGCCTTTGATGTCGCAAAGACAGTCGAGCGCTTGCTTCTGGGCTTGAAATAAACACACAGAAATGGCACTTGATGGCGCCATAGTAAATATGTTCTCACCTGTAGATCGGCGTCACGTAGCCATCCTTGTACCAAATTACCAGAGCGACTTTGTCATCGACAATGGGAGCTGTCACGTTGCATGGTAACCGTCCGATGGAGCCCTGCACAGCTTCTGACAGCACGAGCGGCACTGCGAAGCATAGAAAATGTTTATTTCAGTCGTGATGACAGGAAATTGTTCATCTTGCGAGCGCCAAAATGCGCCCAAGCTTTTTTCCTCCCTTTTTTTTCTTTCTCCGGGCGGCGAAATCTCCCTCGCATGAAGAATGGCTCTCTAATGACCAGTCGCTAATTTTTCTGTGGGCAAATTGAAATCTTAAATGGTTTTTAATGCTCCACCACTCTCAGTGTGTGGTCGCTCGATGAGGAATCCCTTAAGGCCCTCCGAAGGGTCAGTGACTAAGGAGATTTCGGGAGATTAAAGTGTGATTATGAGGTGTATCATTAAATCCGGGATTTGCTTCGCCCATTGTCTTTGTGAGGGCATAAAAAGCGATTCATGTGAATCGTAAAAAAAGCTGCTAAGAGAGCTTAAAGTGATTTCGACGCATACTTGGGAAGATGTCTGGTGTGTGTGTGAGCAGATTTTCATGAATTTTTAGTGCCAAACAGAGAGAATAATTCAGGAGAGAATTAAATAAGCTTTCATTTGCATCAGAGTGCATGAACATCCAAGAGGGAGATAATATGGGTGAAGAGTGTACATCACTTCCTGGCACTCCCACAATTTGTATGAAAAAAAAGCCTAAACACTTCTCCGAAACATTTATTCAATCAAACGATTAATAAGGGAAATATGCTGATAATTTTGATTTCACGTCTGAAAATCGACTGAAATCTAACTCATAACTTTAGAACTGAACTCTTCATTCATTGTTAAATGATTTTCTTCCTCTAATGGCTCTGTTGGATTTAATTTTTGAGTGTTCTTAAGGAATTCTGAACAAGGATCTTTTTAGTTTTAAATCGCGGCTGTTAATTAAAAAAAAAAGTTAGGTTATGTTGCACTTTAACACATAATATTCGCCATAAATTTGAATAATTCTAATATCTAAAATTCTAATACTTCTGCTGAATTGTACATCACCTCTGAGATTATCTGCCCCTTGTCAAAAATTACTCTAAACACTGGAGATTATAATCATCAACAAATGTGTAAGACTTTCAGTTGTAATTCCACGTTAACCCAATTGCCTCTTATTTTGATATTCTCTTTAATCAATTTCAACGTCACTCGGGAATGTTTGTAAGTAATTCATGTGATGTTCTAACTGGAATTCTCTGTATCATTCATTAATGGTTGCACTGTGAATTTGCGCAGCTACAATTGTATTATTTTGTCAGGGAGTTGCGAATGTAAACTCTGTCAGTGCAAATATTGCCACACTTGTCAGCAGTCGCGTGAGCTTTGCAGGAATGCCGGGAGATTTACCATTGGCCTGATGAATGTGTTGTTCTGTGAATTAATAAATACAAAACTATGTTCCAGCGCAAGCAGTTGCAATTACACTCCGCAGTGAAATTATGCGGAGTGCTTTTGAGGAATGTTCATGACCAAATTCCCCGAGTTGCGTTGCAGGGGTGAAAAAAGAAGCGTGAAGAAGCACTGCAAGAGTATTGCGGGAGCTTTTTCGCTGGTGCACAAGGAGAGGAAAAAAAACGCTGCAGAGCTTAAAAATGAAAATGATAAATATCTACTTAATGCGCATATCTCATAATTATATTAGACTTTTCTTGTCACAGACGCTCAGTGTTTGTGAGCTCAAAGAGCATGAAAGCGACACTATCGAGGATTTAGGTGGAAGTTATGCTGTTGGAGAGCTTTTGCACCCCTGATGGTGTGTTCTTGCCATGTTTTACCGCTTCAACAGACGTCACGACATGGTTTTATCGAATTCCTCTATATAGTGACAATTTTTATTTATAAAACGATTTACAGTGTCAATCACTGTCAGTCGCTTTTCAGACTTTTATTGACTCGTGTTCCAATTTTCGTGGATTTATTGGCACTTATTCATACATCATTACAGACACGCTTTGGAGCTTTAAATTTGAATATTTCATCATGAAATATTTAGCATATTAATCAACTAGGATTGATGACAAAATAACTGTGTCAAGTTATTGGATAGTGACACCGAGTGGCATGAAAAGTATTGCAAACACTCTCAATAACTCTTCCATGATTTCACATGGGTTGCGATATATATTTCTTTTTTAATTAAATCCCGTCTGAATGCTTCCTTGAAATTGCGATGGCAAACAGATTGAATAACCCAGTGAATTCTCATTAGGATGATCGATGACGCCAAGAGCCCTCATAATATAATCACACTGATGAAATCTGTGTCTCTGTGTGTGTTTGCAGATAATGGACTGCGATTCCACATGTCTTGTCCATGAATTTTACATATGTAGCTCCCCCACAAAAGCTCCAAAAGCTTCTGGGAAACACTAGAAAAGTGTAACTAGTCCGGGTGATAACGAGTTTTCTCTCCTTGCCTATTGTTTATGTGCACACGAGAGTGAAAAAGAATGTTTGAAGAATGAAAAGAGCCAAGAACATGAGGAAGAAGCCCACCCAAACCCTCATGGGATAGTCTCACTCATGTCCATCAAGACGGAAATCAAGGGGTGTCATCAGGGGTTCGCCAATCACGTATTTTCGAGTCGCTACGATGTGTAAAAAAAATCTGGTTTCACATGGGATTTGAACCCGCGTCTCTTCCATAATTGCGCCAGACAATTAGGAGAGTGCGAAGAGTCTCACTGCAGACCATCATGCTGTGCCTGAGAAACCCCTCGACATTTGATGAAGATGATGAAAACAGTTTCAAGGTTTTTGTGCCTCATCCTCGGGCTTTCTCTTCCGCCTCTTGTACACATTGTTTGTCGACAATCAATGGTGGTTGATGGTGTTCTCGTGTGTCTCCGTGCGGGTGGGATTATTGATTGTATTTGACCACGATAATGCCTGCCATCACGGCGCGCTCGAGTCACACAGAGAGATATTCTCTGGGCAACATGAATAGGAATGTGTGGCGACCCGGGGAGAAAGTGATAAAATTACATAAATCAACCCCAACTGCTGATGTTTTGCGCTCCAGCAGTTACACTTTAAATTCACTCTCCCCTCCCAAACATCGAAATTGCACCCCTCGCTCGAGTCATATATTTCATAATTGGGGCGCGCCGTGGGTGGAATCGAATAATTGTGATGTTTATCCAACTGTATTCTCCCTACCTGGGAATTATCTAGTACAGCTCACGGCAGAACTGCCACAATCACCCATTTTGCTTTTTCTCCACCCCGAGTGGATCCCTCTTCCGGTACATGTCGCTCGTTTGCGTCACCCCGATAATGCTAAATGACGCGTGAATTTGGCAAAATTCAAGAATTATGATCCAAAAAGGTGAACATGAGGTGAATGAAGGATTACGAGGGCGAGGGACAGCACGAGAAGTGAGGGGAGCGTCTTTAATTCCTTTAAAAGGAATATTCCAGATGGAAAACTTTGAAGATTCATGCATAGAACAGACTTCACCGAGAGCCTTCACATTTGCTTAAGCAATCATGTGAATGTGAATAAGATATAAGATTAACACAATGCAAGTTCCTCTGTCACTTTGATGTGCTCTGAATTTGCAAGTCTGTCTGTGAAATGAATTATCTGCCGAGATGAGATCAAGACAAAGCCTCAACTGGCAAATTAATCGCCGATCCCACGGGGTCATCACTGCATTAATTAACATCCCCTCTGGACTGTTGACTCTGGGCTCAGCTCCACTTTAGTGGCTTTTGATTTGATGGTGTGGCGCAACCATAAAATATTTCCTCGACAGACGGAAATGATTAATTATCATTCGCCGGAAGAGTCGGTGCTGGAGCTCGTCAGTGAGGGGATGAAAGATTAAAAAGGGGTTCACGAGCATTTTCGCGATTTGTACGGCCCAGTAAAAGTTGTCGTGACAAAGGAACAGCCGGAAAACCACGTCGCAAGCTGGTTGGAAAGTTTTTCAATTAAACACCCACCCAGGAGGCCTTCCGACCAGCCAAACGGTGTGCGGGCTGTAAAATCGAAATTTGCACGCATCGTAAAGTCCGCGACGCCCAGACAAGACGCTCACGGGACGTCTTGACGAGTGCTTAAGAAAAAAGTACACACGACAGGGTGTGGTTGATTATTCACTTTGGGGCGTTGGCGAGACTCTCGAGGGAATCTGCGAACATTATATGGATTTTCCTATGAGGCTTAATTTTAATTACACCCCCAAATGTTGCAAGTCTTAGACGAAGACGTGAATCTTCCCTGGCGGAAATGAGCCTGTCGTCTGGGTGTTTTCTGATAAAGCCCCTCTCTCTCTCTCTCTCTCTCAGTCTTGACGATTTATACTTTATTATTTACAAGCACTTTCCCAGCATTTTCCTCTCATTCACTGTATGAAATTTTCTTCTCAACTAAATCATCAACGCACATCTCCATTAAGCATGGCGTCATGAGACATTTCTCTGACTCAACTTCGGCATAAATTCATGCAGTTGCAAATTGCAAAGCACCGCTTGGAAGTTGTTCTGAAGAGTGCTTAAGAGGTCTTGCAATATTGCTGAAAATGCACAAATTGTTCACTTTTTCTTTTGCATTCATCACAGCATTGTTCAGGCGAGAGAATTAGAGAACTTTTCCCAAGAGCTTCAGACTTTTCTTTTTCGCATCTCCAGGTATTATTCTTACAGCTTTTTAGCATCAACGTGATATATTGTGTCCCCAAAGATCATTTCCACCGTCAACGTAGCGTTCTAGAAAAAGCATGAAATTCCGTTGAAAATTCGTGTTTTTCCCCTTTGCTTATTTATTCACTTCCCTCTTCCTCAAACCCACCCTCGAGTGTTGGGTGTGAAATAATTTCTGGCCGGGACAGCGCTCTATTCCCAATTGCAGACGCCGCAAGAGACAAGGGTGGAATAGTGACGAGAAGTGGTGTACAAAAGTGTTTCAGAAGTGATTTTATGGTATTCATTGGTTATGATTTAGAGGTTTTGAATGGCAGAACTTCCAAAGAATACTTAGAAATCATCTTTTTTCACCTTTCTTTCTATTTTTGATGCCTGGAAATTTATTTACTTGCCAAGAATCATTTATTTAGAGTCACATTCTTAGGCTAGACAAGATTTCTCTAGCAAAGTGTACAAATTCCCATCCATTTTTGCCACCCTTGAGAGTCGGCAGGACTGTGGAATTGATGCGAGTCTCTGGGTTTTTATGGTTGCGACATAGGAAGAAACCACACACAGAGGGACGAGAATTGAGTGGAGAAACTGCACGAGAAACTTCTCCACATTCTTTCGTACAAATAAATCTTTCAATGTTGTCTAGGGTTTTACATTTGTGTGCCGCATATAAAATTAACACATACTTCAGTGGTGGCGATCAAAAGGGGGGAGGAAAAGAAATTTTTCCCGTGCAACCCCTCGACTTTTTTTTCCCCCTCCTCTTTCAGCGCCTCCTTCGCCCCTCGGCGCACAAACGTGGGGTTTTTCCCAATGAGCCCGCGTCATGAATAGTTTCGTTAGCGCAGCGGCGAGGGGTAATTAGCTGAGACTAATTTCTTAATAAGCGGACACGTTTTAAAACTTAACCCTCATTGTGAGCGGCAAACACTGCGAGTGGGGGTGAGATTTATAGGTCACATAATTTTTCCGGACAAACCAGGGCTGCGCAATTGTAAACAGTCCGTCAATGGCTCGGCCAGGGATGTCTGTTGGGATTCTCTGGACGCCTGTGAAGTCTTCATCCTGTCGAAATTACCCTCATCTTCCCACAGCTAAGATCCTTGTCGAAGGACTTTATCCACTATAATCATTTTAACGACTCTGTTAAACTCCGCCTCACTTGTGTGTTTAGGTCCAAATTTCACTACATAGTGCAAATCTCGTCGGACTTTCAATTCGACGGGTGTCTCGAAAACAATCAAAAGCCTAATCGCAATTTTTCTGTAGAGCAAATTCAAAATTTTGCGTTAATAAAGTTGCGAAATTTGCGAAATTTACTTCAAAACCCTCAAAACACCTTCAAATCCGCAGCTAAAGTACAAATATTGCTGTGTATTTATTATTTTGTAAGTATTTTAGTTGACTTCATTGGTGTTTATTGAAATTTTTGATTAAATTAAGAGGAATATTTTTACTTTCTTTAGTCGATTTTTAATAGTCTTCGAGTCAATTTTATCAAAACTGATTCTAAAAAAATCAACTTTTCATTCTTTATTTGAATTTTTCCTTAAGGTTTTGAAGTGAAAAAAAAAATTAAAAAGATATGAGAAATATTCATTCAAAGTCTAAAAAACATCTTAGGATAATTCTGAAAATTGAAAAAAAATCTCAAAAGGTTTTTTATGCGTTTTATTGCAATTTTTAGACATTTTAATGGTAAAACAATGAATATTCGATTTTTCATACGTAAATTTTTGCTTTTAAGATAATTAAAATTTTTTGCTATTGTGTCACAAGATGCAAATTCTAAAATTTTTGTACAGGAAGAAGAAATAAAAAGCTTTTCAAAAATACATAAGACAAAAACTGTGATAAATCGACTTTTCATAGCTTTCAATTCACCCGTCGAATCACCTCAAATTTAAATTTCGACAGTTCGGGTGAAGTTTAATTACTCAGAAAACCAAGGAAAGCCAAGAGAAATCGACGTGCGGTTGCAGATCAATTGAGAAAATTAAGATTTACTCAAGGATTGAGCAAAGTGTAAACTTTATGCACTTTCACTCAATTCAAGCAGGTGTTTCACCGTCTCTCGTCCATTTCTCAGAAATCTGCGCAATTATTGCAATGTTCTTAAGCCCTACACTTGCTCTCCATGTGCCCATGATGGAAACATTCACTGCAATTTACAAAGTGTACTTAATAAACCAGCAGCAATTCATGGACAGGACTTCTCGCGTCCTTTCATTGGCAGCATAAACGCGGTTTAATTAAACACGCGCTCGAGTGATGCTTTTCCCATTTACTGTCGAATCAAACGTTTAGAGCTTTATGATCTCAACCAGTGAATTACATCCGAAGTTCAAAACATTCTATTAGCCTGTGACATAAAATAGCAAAGCGAAATTGTCGCTCATGCCAATTTGGCCAGCAATTCTCGCCCGAGAGACAATAAAGCTCCTAATCGTGATTCCCACTTTACTCTGCAGTGTCTGGGAATTTGTGTGAAGTTTCATATTGGCGATAAAAGGGCCGCACGAAGATGGACAATTCGTGTCACGTTTCATGACATTCTTTCTTCCTGTTTTGACCCTGATTCAATGAGGTGTGATTGTGGAAAAGCTTAATCAAATGCGAGAGTCTCTCAATGTGTGCAGTTTCGCTCAAAATCCCGGAATTCACTGACACCTGCCGCTCAATTTTCTCTTTTCAGCGAAACAAGATCCTTTCGGTGAACTTTCGTGAGTAACACAAGTGCCTCTCAACATTGTAAACAAGATGAATTTTTATTGCTTCCTCAATTAGAAGCCCAGGCTTTCTTCGCGCGACTCCTTTTCCAATTCCTGGCGGAAGTCACAAAAAAAGGTGCTCCACACTGAATTCCATTGCGAAAAGAGGGCGTCAAAGGAAGCAGAGAAATGGAATTTGGCTGTACATTTCCTCGGCTGAGACGCTTTAATGTCTGACTTTTGCAGTAAAGATGTGGGCTCTGAACGGCGGGAAGGAAAGATAAACAGCCACGCATTTCAACGGAAAAATGCGGAACTTTAGCGGGGGTTCAAAGGAAAGAGAGATTTAGCATATTGACTGTAAACGGAGAAGAATAAGGAATACTTTGCGATAGTTTAATGAAGAATAGAGTGCAAGATTTCACTGACTGAGAACTGTTTTTTCTTTCCAGTCAATTTCGGAAGTAATTTACATCTTTTACAGCTTCTTTCAATCCTTTCCCATTTTCTATCGAGGGGAAAAGCCAAGGAAATTTGCTCACAAATGAGAAACAGTAATTTATCACTTTGCGTCGTTTGATGTTTTAAGTTAGAAACTCTGAGATGCCGATGTCTTATTAAATTGCCACAAGTTTATGTGCAGTTATCAGCCTCTTCTTAACTGCCACGATAAACCGTGACAGACGAAAGCGCGCAAATGCTTTTGTCGCTGCGAAGAAGCTTTCAGTCTCAGGAAGCACTAATTAGCTTCAGCGAAGCGCTATGTTTAATTTGAAGCAATCTCGCATTTGAGATTCTCACGACAGCCAACAAAATCCTATTCACACAGCAAATTCAGAGATGCTCGAGAGTGAGAAGTTGATAGGCAAATGTTGAGGCCTCACAAAGGGTTGGAAAATCGATATTCATAATGTTGTGAATGTTGCAATTAGTGTGACCTTTTTGTGCAATTTGAAATTGACATATAATTTAATTGGCAAAATGCACTAATTTTTGCCACTAGAGTTTCAGTAATTAATCCACCTCTGTGGTGTTTTTCAAAGTGTTTTATAAAACTTTTCCATTACACAAATACACACACACAGACGTTTTTTTTCCCAAGAGTTGCGAGGAAGTGACAATTAAATTTTCCCAACCGCACCAAAGATTCCACGAAGAAGAAAAGCTTTCAGGAAAATTAAATACGCGATCATGGGAGTTTCCTCCGCCGCCCTTGGGCACTCTTTCTCCACATTCTTTCGCGCCCCCAGGGTGAGATAATTACCATTTTCATCCTCAATATTGCGACTGGTTGTGGTGCTGCTGCCACTGACTGAGATAATTCCAGTGAAGATTACAGTGTAAATCCATTGATTGAGCATTGCGCGGATGTGCTTATCACTGGGTCACTGTCTCAACACTCAAAATTCCGTCTGTCCTTAAGCGCTGCCGATAAGATACTCACAAAACACTCGCGGAGGGCTTTTCATAACTCTCAAGACGCGCACTATCTCTCCCTATTCGCCTCTGTAATTAACACTTTGCGGTGCGGCAAGTGGCAAAAGTGTGATCAAATTGATGAGAATAGGCAGTGTGACGTCAGTGTGTAGGCCCACTTGATGGCCTATCACGCATCTTCCATCTCCTGAGGGCACATCAGAGAATGATGAGGGGCTTTCGGCTTGACTAATACCAGGCCGAAGTGACTTGACATGACTTTAATAAGGAAAAATTCATGTCACGAAAGCCAAATGTTGCCCTCGAGCACTAAAATTCCACCCTTAGAAACACTCACAGCGATAAATCCAGCACATACACACCCTTAAGTCAAGGACTGGCGCGAGTCGAGCGACAATTCACGCCGCAGCGCAGTGAATCATGATCGCCACGGTGCAGCTTTGCACGCGAAAGCCCAAATGCAGGCTGTGTGCTGGCACAAGTCTCAGTGGGAAATCTCGCGAGAGCCGCCAGACGGTCGGACGAGGTGGATTTGTGCTGTGGAACGCGGTGTAACTCTTACTAAACGCCGCCGCCTGCGTTCATCTCACTTCAGCCCTGAGCATCTTCGTTCACAGCTCGGATGCTGTACTTTCCACACTGCCAGCGAGTCTGTGCAGACATTCTCCGCATTTTCCCGGCCCCCACTCCGGCACAGCGGCGGCCAGAGTGGGGGCGCCGCGGCTCATGCGCCGCGCCGCCGTGGAACTTGAGGAGAAGTCCACGAGGTGCGCCTCCGTGGGCAGCAAAACAGAATATGCGAATCTCATGTGCACCTGACAACACCAGCTGACGTAAATATTTGAATTGCCTGTTTGTGCTAATGTGTCCACTCACGGCAAATGCGCGGAAAATCCGCAGATATTGACAGTCGAGCGCGGGCCAGTGGATTATCCTCGAAGAGCTTTATTTTTCATGTCGGCTCAGTGGCGAGAAAAAAAAATCACGAGAGCTGCTTTGCGCCCATTGTTCATGTTTCAGACACACAACAAGCAATTGCACAATGACGCAAGACTGCAGAAAGTGTGCAGAGCGTCACTCCAGAGTGTGTCGAAAGTCTGAGATAGTGAAGTTTTTCCAGGTTCCTCACAATTGCAATGAATTAATTAAGTCACCGCAAGGCGCAGCTTCTCAAACTTCCTGGTGGCGATGAAATGAATTCTGCAAAATAGATGGAGTGCATGATATAATGCCAAAAATTGCTGATACGCCACAGTGAAAGGGAGGCAAAGACGTATTACTTAAGTGTTTAATTAAACTTTGCGCGCCAGACTCTTTTGCATTTCTCGCATGAGAAAATTACGGGCGAGAAATCTTGATTGAAATATAAATTCACGCAAGTTGTATGCAAAATGGAGAATTATTATTATTATTGCAGGTCATTTATTCCCGCCCAAAGGCAAAAAGGAGCACAAGAACGACAAGTGGTTTCATTCAAGTTGAAAGTCTTGTAGAGTTTAGCAAAAGTTTAACTATATTTAACGTGAATGAAAGCTGTTTAATAGTTTTCTTAGCTTATGTGACTAAATTAAAACAGAATGAGTAATTTAATAATACAAAAACTACTGAAAACATCTAATCTAATCGACTATGAAGAGAATTTGCGCTTCCAAAATCACTTAATTACGGAAGTTTAATAGTAGAAAGTGCTTTAATGCGAAATATAACCTCAGAAATATAAGTATGAATTTGAAAAATACCTATTTTGGAAATGTATTCAAAAGTTACGCTTCTCCCAAAGTGTTTCAGGGTGAAAAACATCAGTTCTGAGAATTTCATAAGCCAGAATTTGAGGAATATAAACTTTTGCTTTGCCTAAAAAATGAAGAAAGCTGAGAAAAAGACATTTTGAACGTCTTGTTGGAGTTCTTGACGTGCTGAAGATTCTTCAAAGATCTTAGGCTCGATATTTCGGTCTTGCTTTAATTTGGGCTCCGTTCTGGTCAATTTGGGAACACAGTGCGAAAAGGTGAAGAGATGCTGTCTCTGTACAAGGGAAATCGATAAGAAGCATCACGGCCAGAGATCGTGTCACCAAGTTGCCGTCCACAGAGTTCGCTGGAGTGTAAAAAGTTCACGAAACTTTCCCTCCCCAGATCCCGGAAAAGTCCCCCAACAATGGCGATTGCGAAGTTTCACAGCAAAGTCCGTTTTTGCTGTGAGCATTCTTCGTGGGCAAGAGTGTAAACAGATAATCCGGCATGAGATAGAGGCGGCAGGGATTCAAATCGCCGGTTACTCTGAGTGTCTGGTGGAAAAGGGGAAAGTCACTCGTTTTCCAAGACCAATAACTTTGTGATTATTGAATCATTTTACTGATTTTTCAAATTTACCAGAAGCTGGATCCAAACTCTTTAAAGTTGGTGTAAAAAGTGTATTTCTATTTGGGAAATACAATCAGAATTTCTGAATGGCTTTCAAAATTGATCAGCTGATAATAAAATTGACCTTTTCTTACGCGTAAATCCTCATTATCTCGCTCAAATTTCATTTTTTCCTTGCCAGGAAGTAACAAAGCGTGAGAATGCGTGGGAAGCGTCCCCCACGCCAACTTTGCTGCCCTCTGGTGGTCTAATATGAAGAAAATAATCAAATATTCATAAAATCAAATATATTCTTGCTAAAACAGTGTGTAACTAAAATAATGTGTTTTAAGCGCTACCACAATGTGTAAGAGAGGAAAAATGGTGAAATTTGTCAGAATTATTAAAATTCCAGTTCATAATTAGTAAAACCATGATAAAAAGAATTTACTGTAGACATAATTCGTGTTCTTGCTTGAAAATTTGAGCTATAATCATAGATTGATCCACATTTGCAAGATATTTACAGATTTATTAAAACAACATCTCTAGAAGTCGTGTTAAAATTACACATTACAAAATGGCGATACAAAATGGTTTAAAACAAATAGACCAGAACAGAAAATAACACAAGTGGAGGAATTTTGAACACAAGCGCCTTTTTGAGTCTTACATGTGTGACTCAGAATAGCAAAGGTGTGTGTTAAACCAATATAACACAATTTATACATTTTGTGTGTGGCTGAGAATTGCTCCAATAATTTTATTTATTTTTTAATTTTGCCGAAAATAATTTTTTGATATTTTTTTAAATTCAAATCTTGATTTTTTGAATTCTTTCTGTCAATGTAGAAATGATTGTTTGAATATTTGATTGAGACCACAGAGATTGCTCTAAAATCGGCCTGTGATTTGCCCCTTGCTGGCGGATGACTTGTGGGCGGTCTTCAGTAATCTGGTGAGTGGCCAGGCGAGAGGAAGGAGACGCACACACACATTCTGAGCGGAGCTTAAAAGTTCTGGCCGCCCTCGCAGCGGAAATCGAATGCAACGACACAAATCTCCGACGATAGGAATCTTTTGATCCCACTAACAAGTCGAATGGTGATCTCTCTTTCGTCCTGAGCTCAGGGTAACACTGATGCGGCACATAAAACTTCCACTGGTTACTTCCACACGACAGCGCAGGCGAAATCAATTTCAATCCCACGATTTATATATGCCATAGACATGAATGTCCTCTCGAGTGTGGTTCGTCAGTTGCAAAGGACTTTTCACGCTCTTTGGCGCTCATTTCATACTTCACCACTCTGTATATGTTTTGTGTGGGATTTGCAAGTGACTAATTTGGGCTTTAGCGTCCAATATCGTCACAGAGAATCGAACTTTTATGTAATGATTGAAAAACCACATAAAAAACGAGCAGATTTGTCCGATTTCAACGTATTTTTATCCTTTTCAGCTCTATCAATGCTCGTTTTGATTTCCTCTGAACTGAATGAACTTTTGAAGTGATTCAATTGCTTCCAATAAAGCGAGTGTTTTTGTCGATGTTTAGTGAACACAAAAAGAGCACTTTAAACATAACTTTATACTAATTGTGACCATGATGGAATTCCGCTGGTTTCCATGGAAAATTCGCTAAAGTTTTTAATGCACAACAATGGATTTTTTTCAATCAAACAATTTAGGATTTTCAGTGATTTTTCAAGGATGATTTTATCTAGAGCTTTCCTTAAGGAAACCCGCGAAGTATTTGTTGGGATTTTAGTGGAAATCTTGATTTTTAGGTTAGATTTGGATAGATATACGATGAACTTCAAGAGAACTTGGGCTTATTCTTAAGTTCCGGCCTTGTGTTTGCCGACTGAGAACTTGCGCAACAACCAGACGGTGAAAGTGTTGTCTTGCTGATGCCAGAGTAGATTTTTCGGGGGGGTCAAAGTGTTTGTTTTGCCCGCCACTTGAGCACTCCACTAAGCCTCGCAGATGATATGACCTTAATCGCTTCTTATGTGGTGAAGAGGGTGGCAAAAACACTGCCGGCGGCAAGAAATCTCTCCACGGAATCGAAGTCTCGGGAGAGCGAGTGCCAAAGACAGCAATCGGGAGTGATTTTTTCATCCTGAAAGTCCGCCGAGAAGAAATGTATAGAAATAATGCCACAAATTACTGAATGATTAGGGCTGAGAGATTAGAGAAAAAACAATAAAACGCACAATTTTTCGAGGCACAGTTTGGCCGCGTGTGGTTTGAATTATGTAAATTGCTCACATCCGGGTCACTTTTTGCAAGTCACTCAGATGGCCGCACTTTGTCAATAATAATAATAATAATGCGTGCTGAATAAACTCCATCAATTTGCCATTTCAATTTAAACTCATTGATGCGGTCGCAAAGCGCCCGTGAGAATTTCAATGCTGGCGCTTTGCAATCGACCCAAATTGACCAATGCTTGCAAATTGCTGCCCAGAGGCTGCGATGCAAGATTTCCGGTGCGGAAAAGTGAAAACACAGCGACTTATTGAGTTGTTATCACGACGGTAAAGTCTGGGTGATAAACGCCATCGTAAACGGAGTAGTTTAGCATTCTTCCATGGCGAGGTTGTAAAATTTATGTTGACACCTCGATGGAATTCTTCACAGTGCTCACGATTGTGGTAAACAGCATTTGATGACACCGATGGGAGTCGAGAAGATTCATTCTCTGGCTAAACTAGCAAATTTCTACATTATTTCGGCCACGAGATTTTATTGAACACAGAATTCCGGGCTGAATTCAACACAATTTCAGTTATTTTCTTCCTTGGAAATTGATATTCAAAAATGCTGTATTTTCTGCAGAAAAT